CCTCGCCTCATCTCGCCTCATCTCGCCCCATTTTTTCTTTTCTAGACCACTCCGAGACCGAACCCCAAGACCGACCCGAGACCCGAGATCGACCCGAGATCGACCCGAGATCGACCCGAGATCGACCCGAGATCGACCCGAGATCGACCCGAGATCGACCCGAGATCGACCCGAGATCGACCCGAGATCGGCACGAGCGATCAACCCAACAGTGCCCCAGAGCCCCCTCCGGGGGGACCCCCCCTCACCCCGAGTGTCCGTGTCCTTCGCGAGTCACCGATGGGGAGCGGGGGGGGGTGCGAGATGCACAGGGGAGGCTGGGGAGGGGGGGGTCCACTCTGAAGACAGCCGACCGCGGAGGGGTTTTGTCCCACAGGGTTTTACCCTCCGCGTGAGGATCGGCGCGGCGAGGGGGTAGGCTCGAATTCGCCGCGCAACATTTCACCCCCACAGGACCCCGCCCACCCCCCCTCATGGTCCCACCTAGCACCCCAATGAGCTTTCGCACCCCCTCCTTGCGCAGTGTCCCCCACTATGTGTCGCCGTCTTCGGGGCACGCTATCCTGTGTAGTCAGGGCAAGTGGGGGCGGGGGGCAGTCCCATCTCTCCTGTGTACGGGTGGGTTCTGTCTCCAGTCTCGGAGGGGGGCTTGAAGCTAAGAATTTTTTTTTTGTTCAGCCGGCCTAAAACGTTAGCTACTGTTGTTGGGGAGCCCCACTGTTGTTCTGTTGTTACTGTTAACACTAGCAACACTGTTCAGCTCTTAACGTTTGACAACCCTATTTGTCTGTTTTCTTTCTTTCTTTCTTTCTGGCAACACAGGTAGACAGGAGAAGAATTTTCCAAGGAAACTCCCTCTCACGAGCAATCGCTGACGGCTGCGGCGATCGGCGACGGCTCGGCTCGCGTTCGTCTCCGGCGCGACGGCGCCAGCGAGGGAAGGCGCGGGTGCAGCGGCCGCCGGCGGTCGGTCGGTCGTTCGTGCCGCTCGCTGGCCAGCGCAGCAGTACTCGAGTACTCGCTCGAACTTTGCGAGCCGTGCGCGCGCCGAGGCGCGCGCGGCGCGCGACCGCGCCCGGCTGCCAGTAGGAGACGGCGCAATATGGCCACTAGTACAGCCCTTGGAGGTGGAGGAGGAAGAGGCTGGCTGGCAGTGCTGTACATGCCACCGAGGGGGCAGTTTTGGGGTGCTGTCCCCATGCGATGGTATGGGCATATGGCCGATCCGAACTGCAGTGGTTCAAGTTATATGCGCATGTACGACGACCCACAAGGACTCACAGGTAGATCCGCTACGTGAGGCACTGAAGTCACACTCCAACAACACGTACGACATCGAGGCGAGAAACACCGGGAAGGGAGGTGGATGGCCTTTGGCCAGCACCGACGCATCGAGAACGCGCTCCGGCAGCGGTGCTAGGGACCCGGCAACTTGCGCCCCGGCGGAGCACCCGGTGACCCACTCCCGGCTTGGTCCCTGCCACCGGCCACGCCCACGCCAGTGTCTACGCAGACGCGGACACAGGCTCACGCGAGCTCTTCTGGAAGTCGACGCCGAAGGCCGGGTTGTCGGTCATCGCCGAGTGGAAGTAGTCGACCAGCGTGATGGCGTCGAGCACTGGCATGCGGAGCGCGTGCCGCAGCGCGTCGGCGTACGGAGGCAGCTCGGTGCACTCGAGGAGGACCGCGCGCACCTTCGGGCGCGCCGCCGCCGCCGCCTTTGCGAGCGCCACGATGCCCGGCGTGACACGCTGCACGTCAACCGCCTCTCCCTTGGCGACCGCGTCGAAGCCGTCCACGTCCTCGCAGCCGAGGATGTGGAAGCGAGCCTGGTCGTCGGGTGAGGTGACGTGTGCGAGCGAGAGCATTTCCCGGAATTTAGGCGCGAGCGACTTGCCGTTCGCGGTGAGGACGAGGAACTCCTAGAAAGGGGTCGGGGGAGGTCCTAGAAAAGCTCCAAGGGAACTTGCGTCGAGGGCGAGGAGAGCTCCTCATCAGTAGCGAAAGAGGCGGAAAGCATGTGGCACTGCATCACCGCCGAGATGAAGCACGGCAGGTGGGACATGCGCCGCGCGTCGACCTGGTAGTTCATCAGGAAGCCGCAGTCCCCCGTGATTCCCACCACCCCTACTCGGGACGCGAGGGGGAGGGGGTAGGGGGGGGGGGGGTTGAGCCCACCCCGCGCGTGCGCCGCATGGCTGGGCGGCGGGGAGTGCTCAAGCGCACCCTCTGACGCCTCGAGCCGCCGGATCGCCGCTTCCATCTCCGTGCGCTGCTCCGTGGTGAGCGGCGATCCCTCCTGCGCCACTTCGAAGGTGAGTCCTTTGGCCACCTCCTGCACCGTGCGGAAGTTGTACGAGCCTGGAGCAAGGAGACACGGATGTGTGGCGTCTCGGGTGCTTTTGAGGCAGAATGTATTTCAGCAGCTAGTTGTTTCCGGCCTGGGTGGTCGATGTCTCCCGGGGCGGGTGGGTACGAGTAGTCGATGCGCAGGACGCCTGGTCACAGCCACGCATGAGGACGTCCTGCGCATGGGCGGTCTTGTGCGAATCGATGTGCGGAGTGCTGCCGATGGCTGGGATGGCCTTCTTGGACAGCCCCTCCATCGGGTTGTTTGCGCGGCCTCCACCGAACGTTTGGCCGAAGCGCGGGTTGTCGGTCGACGCCGCGGCGTAGTAGTCGGCGAGCGTGATGGCGTCGAATACGGGAACGCCGCGCTTCTGGCGGAGCGAGTCGCTAAACGAGGGCAGCAGCGTCGACTCGAGCAGGATGGCGCGCAGGTTGGGGTTCGCCGCCTTGGCGTCCTCGACGGTGCGCACGATCTTGGACCGGAGCTCTTCGTTGTTGTCCACAATGCTCCACTTGTCGACTCCCTCGTCCGCAATCTCGGACGTCGAGAAGCCGGGGATGTGCTGCAGGCCCTGCAGCGGTGGAGGCGCGCCCCGTCTTGTCTGCGTCTTGTCGCTGCTGGCGGCGTGCTGGCGCGGTGTGGGGCGATGGGTTAGCCACCACGCTAGCTGTGCAACGAAAATCGCCTGGATGATGAAGCGGGCCGCGTCGTCCGGCGAGAGGCCGATCTCGATGAGGTTTTGCTCGAGGTCGGTTTGGGTGTAGTCACTGCTGTCATTGGTGATGACGAGCACCTAGACGCAAACAGTGAAGGCGTGTGTGCGCGTGTGCGTGTGTGCGTGTGCGTCTGTCTGTGGAAATATTATCGCCTTCTCCTCTTGCGTGTACATCGACGCAAGCAGCGGAGCCTGCATCAGCGACGAGAGCGCGACCGGCGTCTTTGTCAGTTTGCGGACCTCCTTTTGGCAGTGAACGAAGGCGCCACAATCGCCCGTGATGGCGATCACACCCTGCGCATCGAGCGCCTTGACAGCCTCGTTCAGCGCCTTGAGTTGCGACGGAGTGAGCTCGTTGCGCGCCCGCAAATCGACGTAAGGAAGGCCGTCGACCTCGGCGTGCACTGTACGGAAGAGGTATGAGTTGGTGTCGCGCCCGACCATCGCCTGCGCTGGCTCCCATCGCGCTTTGTGGCAGCGGAGGACGCCGACCGTCGGCAGCGCATCGTCGACGGCATCGGTCACGGTCGCCTGACAAGAGGAAGTGCACCCCATTGCAGTGCTCAGCTGGCAGTGCTCACAGGCGTCTCACGGTCGACCGATTGTGGGAAGCCAAAAAAAGTGAAAGGCCTCCCTTGGGTTGTCTGTTTTTTCTTTCTTTCTTTTACTGCCCAGTCTCGTGAGAGGCCCTTTATCCTTTTCCGCGCGCCAGATACCAGCGTGTGTCTCGCGCCTTGGTGGGGGCGCTCCGGCGTCGCGTCGTGTGCAAGGTTCGCGTTGTAGTGCCGCCACCGCACGGATACCCATCACTGAGCCGACGATGCTATGGGTAGCCCCAGGGTGGCGCCCACCCCCATACCCTCAGGCATTTGCCTGCGCCCTGGCCGCGCACGCCGCACACGCGCGCGCACGCGCGCGCGCACGCCGCGCACCCGCGCGCACGCGGCAGAAAATTTGCGCCACCCCCTCCCCCCCTGGACGCGTTCCACACCTGTCTCTTTCCTTTTCTCTTTTGCATCCATAAATGTACGCGAAACCTTTGGCCAAAACACGTAAAACCCGCAGCGAAATCCGATCCAAAACTGCGTGGCCGGCTGTTTCGTGGCGCGGAGAGCCATGCTGCTTCCTATGCTTCGATTATCGATCGGCGCATCCGCGGCCAGCATCACGTGCGACTTGTTTCTGCTCTCCGGGGGCTGCCCCACCAGCCAGGCCTGCATGGACGTCGTGTATAGCCCGCTGGGCACGACGCGAGCGGGCACGCGTCACTACGAGAGCGGGGGACAGGAGAAGTGCTACGTTTATCACGATCCGGACTGCAATGGGAAGGGCGAGGCGCCCCGCTGGATCCTCGACGACCACGCGCCGAGCGAGAGCGTCGCCCACGACCTTGACGAGGACGACGCCTGCAGCTACTATGCCCGGATCGACTCCGGCGCGTCAGCAGCGCTGCCCACCAGCACCAACACGTGGACGGCGTGGTGCGAGGGCGAGACGTGGGAGTCCGCATCAATCACGCTCACGTGCCTGCCGCCGCCGCCGCCGCCGCCGCCGCCTGCACTGACGGCCTGCGACTCGTTCTCGCTCTCCGGGGGCTGCCCCACCAGCCAAGCCTGCATGGACGTCGTGTATAGCCCACTGGGCACAACGCGAGCGGGCACGCGTCACTACGAGAGCGGGGGACAGGAGAAGTGCTACGTTTATCACGACCCGGACTGCAATGGGAAGGGCGAGGCGCCCCGCTGGATCCTGGACGACCACGCGCCGAGCGAGAGCGTCGCCCACGACCTTGACGAGGACGACGCCTGCAGCTACTATGCCCGGATCGACTCCGGCGCGTCAGCAGCGCTGCCAAACAGCACCAACACGTGGACGGCGTGGTGCGAGGGCGAGACGTGGGAGTCCGCATCAATCACGCTCACGTGCCTGCCGCCGCCGCCGCCGCCGCCGCCGCCGCCGCCGCCGCCGCCGCCGCCGCCGCCGCCTGCACTGACGGCCTGCGACTCCTTCTCGCTCTCCGGGGGCTGCCCCACCAGCCAGGCCTGCATGGACGTCGTGTATAGCCCGCTGGGCACGACGCGAGCGGGCACGCGTCACTACGAGAGCGGGGGACAGGAGAAGTGCTACGTTTATCACGATCCGGACTGCAATGGGAAGGGCGAGGCGCCCCGCTGGATCCTCGACGACCACGCGCCGAGCGAGAGCGTCGCCCACGACCTTGACGAGGACGACGCCTGCAGCTACTATGCCCGGATCGACTCCGGCGCGTCAGCAGCGCTGCCAAACAGCACCAACACGTGGACGGCGTGGTGCGAGGGCGAGACGTGGGAGTCCGCATCAATCACGCTCACGTGCCTGCCGCCGCCGCCGCCGCCGCCGCCGCCGCCGCCGCCGCCTGCACTGACGGCCTGCAACTCGTTCTCGCTCTCCGGGGGCTGCCCCACCAGCCAGGCCTGCATGGACGTCGTGTATAGCCCGCTGGGCACGACGCGAGCGGGCACGCGTCACTACGAGAGCGGGGGACAGGAGAAGTGCTACGTTTATCACGACCCGGACTGCAATGGGAAGGGCGAGGCGCCCCGCTGGATCCTCGACGACCACGCGCCGAGCGAGAGCGTCGCCCACGACCTTGACGAGGACGACGCCTGCAGCTACTATGCCCGGATCGACTCCGGCGCGTCAGCAGCGCTGCCAAACAGCACCAACACGTGGACGGCGTGGTGCGAGGGCGAGACGTGGGAGTCCGCATCAATCACGCTCACGTGCCTGCCGCCGCCGCCGCCGCCGCCGCCGCCGCCGCCGCCGCCGCCGCCTGCACTGACGGCCTGCGACTCGTTCTCGCTCTCCGGGGGCTGCCCCACCAGCCAGGCCTGCATGGACGTCGTGTATAGCCCGCTGGGCACGACGCGAGCGGGCACGCGTCACTACGAGAGCGGGGGACAGGAGAAGTGCTACGTTTATCACGATCCGGACTGCAATGGGAAGGGCGAGGCGCCCCGCTGGATCCTCGACGACCACGCGCCGAGCGAGAGCGTCGCCCACGACCTTGACGAGGACGACGCCTGCAGCTACTATGCCCGGATCGACTCCGGCGCGTCAGCAGCGCTGCCCACCAGCACCAACACGTGGACGGCGTGGTGCGAGGGCGAGACGTGGGAGTCCGCATCAATCACGCTCACGTGCCTGCCGCCGCCGCCGCCGCCGCCGCCGCCTGCACTGACGGCCTGCGACTCGTTCTCGCTCTCCGGGGGCTGCCCCACCAGCCAAGCCTGCATGGACGTCGTGTATAGCCCACTGGGCACAACGCGAGCGGGCACGCGTCACTACGAGAGCGGGGGACAGGAGAAGTGCTACGTTTATCACGACCCGGACTGCAATGGGAAGGGCGAGGCGCCCCGCTGGATCCTGGACGACCACGCGCCGAGCGAGAGCGTCGCCCACGACCTTGACGAGGACGACGCCTGCAGCTACTATGCCCGGATCGACTCCGGCGCGTCAGCAGCGCTGCCCACCAGCACCAACACGTGGACGGCGTGGTGCGAGGGCGAGACGTGGGAGTCCGCATCAATCACGCTCACGTGCCTGCCGCCGCCGCCGCCGCCGCCGCCGCCTGCACTGACGGCCTGCGACTCGTTCTCGCTCTCCGGGGGCTGCCCCACCAGCCAAGCCTGCATGGACGTCGTGTATAGCCCACTGGGCACAACGCGAGCGGGCACGCGTCACTACGAGAGCGGGGGACAGGAGAAGTGCTACGTTTATCACGACCCGGACTGCAATGGGAAGGGCGAGGCGCCCCGCTGGATCCTCGACGACCACGCGCCGAGCGAGAGCGTCGCCCACGACCTTGACGAGGACGACGCCTGCAGCTACTATGCCCGGATCGACTCCGGCGCGTCAGCAGCGCTGCCCACCAGCACCAACACGTGGACGGCGTGGTGCGAGGGCGAGACGTGGGAGTCCGCATCAATCACGCTCACGTGCCTGCCGCCGCCGCCGCCGCCGCCGCCGCCGCCGCCGCCGCCGCCGCCGCCGCCGCCGCCTGCACTGACGGCCTGCGACTCCTTCTCGCTCTCCGGGGGCTGCCCCACCAGCCAGGCCTGCATGGACGTCGTGTATAGCCCGCTGGGCACGACGCGAGCGGGCACGCGTCACTACGAGAGCGGGGGACAGGAGAAGTGCTACGTTTATCACGATCCGGACTGCAATGGGAAGGGCGAGGCGCCCCGCTGGATCCTCGACGACCACGCGCCGAGCGAGAGCGTCGCCCACGACCTTGACGAGGACGACGCCTGCAGCTACTATGCCCGGATCGACTCCGGCGCGTCAGCAGCGCTGCCAAACAGCACCAACACGTGGACGGCGTGGTGCGAGGGCGAGACGTGGGAGTCCGCATCAATCACGCTCACGTGCCTGCCGCCGCCGCCGCCGCCGCCGCCGCCGCCGCCGCCGCCTGCACTGACGGCCTGCAACTCGTTCTCGCTCTCCGGGGGCTGCCCCACCAGCCAGGCCTGCATGGACGTCGTGTATAGCCCGCTGGGCACGACGCGAGCGGGCACGCGTCACTACGAGAGCGGGGGACAGGAGAAGTGCTACGTTTATCACGATCCGGACTGCAATGGGAAGGGCGAGGCGCCCCGCTGGATCCTCGACGACCACGCGCCGAGCGAGAGCGTCGCCCACGACCTTGACGAGGACGACGCCTGCAGCTACTATGCCCGGATCGACTCCGGCGCGTCAGCAGCGCTGCCCACCAGCACCAACACGTGGACGGCGTGGTGCGAGGGCGAGACGTGGGAGTCCGCATCAATCACGCTCACGTGCCTGCCGCCGCCGCCGCCGAGCCCATCTCAAGGGTCGTACAGCTACGACGCATTTAGCCTCTTTGGTGCGGTGGGCGATTACTCTTACGTGGACGGAGACGGTGCGGCTTCTAGTGTGTTTGGAGGATAGACATAGAGAGACGCGCACTGAGGACTTGATTTCACATGAGGTGTGTATGCAGCGAAAAAACAAAACAGGGGTGTGTTACGGTGAAGTGATTTCGCGAAGTATATTACGCGGGAATTTGACAGTCCCACCGGTCCTCGGGGATGCGGTCGCGGACGGCCCACGAAATGTGGTCTTTGCAGCCAAGCCGGTTGGACGGCGCAGCACTAAAGTTGCACGGCAACCCGCCGTCCGAGGCCAGAGGGCTCGCCACGCGGCGGTGTTGTGGTAGAAGAGATTTAGCGAGCCGAGGCTGAACGGCAGTGCGACCTGAAGGGAGGTGGGATGATGGTGGGGTGACGGTCTTCACACACCTCAGTGACGGCCGCGACAACCTGCGATGAGTACACCGCGGAGAGATAGGGAAACCATGCCGACTCCCGATCATTGATGAGGGAGCCGCGGGTGCGTTGCAGGAAGGCGTGTGCGCGCTCCCGCGTGCAGAGGTCAAAGCAGGCGCAGGTGGCGGCCGGCATTCGGTGGCCGCCCGTCGGAGCCCGTCGCGCCCATTCCGAGCCCGAGAAACAAAAAATCGTTTATGGAATTTTCAGTGTAAGTAGCTCTTATAAACATTGCCCTCGTGATGGCGGCGTGCCGTCCTCCCATCCCTCCCTTGGGTTGTCTGTTTTCTTTCTTTTTACATTCCCGAAGGAGGACTGCTAACAGGAATGAAAGAAAGAAAACAGACAGTTCAAGGGAGGGATGGGAGGACGGCACGCCGCCATGCCGAGCCCAAATCAGAAAGAAAGAAAGAAAGGAGCGGGGAGGGAGGGATGGCCGAAAATCACTGTGACCGTCGTGATTTCTTGTTGGTTTTCAAAAATCTCTCTCTCCCACAGGGATTTTAAATGATTTTTTTGCTCGAGGGTTCCTCCGGCTCCTGCTCTCGGTTTTCAAAAATCTCTTCTACTCGTGGTATTGCTAAAAATCTCTCTCGCTCGCGCCAAAACGCCCTACCTAACTTCCGTGTGAGTGAGTATTCTTGATACGAACCCACGACGACACACACCACAGTCGACTCGTATCGGTTGCCTCTCCATGTACCATGAACGGCGGAGCTCTTCTCGCGCCCACACCACACCTGGCTCCAACGTGGACACGCCCATAGCTGGGGACACTACTAGGTCACGCATGGCATCAGAAGTTTTATCTCTGGGCCCATGGGCCCCGAAAGGCATCTCTATAGCAGCGTGCCAGCGTCGTTACGCATGAAACTCCCCTCCTGGGCGCATGCGCCTCACATCTCGCCAGAGCATAAGCTCTTGGTGTGCCACGAGACGAGTTTTTCGCCATCGCCACACACACACACACTCAGGTAGGTAGGTAGAAAGGTGAAGAACAGCCAGGCTCGGACTGGACACCAACGCGGTATGGGTGGACGCTGGACAGATGATGACGACACGCACGAGCGACACACAGACACAAACAAGCTCACCTAACTTCCCCAGGCCGCGAAGCCACGCGAAAAAAGAGGAAAACGCACTCTACGAGTCCGACCTCTTGCAGGCCAGACTGACGCCTCTCGAGGTTCACTCGGCTGGGGCTTCCAGACAGCGTGCTGGCAGTACTCGCTACGCAACATGCTTTTCCACCTCTTCACCCTGTCGTTCACGCCGACGAGCGTGCCAACAATCACTATCGCACCCGGCGTCAAAATGCCGCTCGCGGGAGTCGGCACGTGGCAGTACAACGCGACGGTCGCAGAGAGAGTAGTGGCAGAGGCCCTTGGCCTGGGCTATCGGCACGTCGATACGGCACTGAATTACCACAATCAGGATGGCGTTGGCCGAGCCATCGCCGCCGCCATCGACGGCAGCCGCCTCACGCGCCGCGACCTCTTCTTGGTTTCCAAGATCCCAGGCGGCCTCAACCACTCAGCTGCTTCGGCCGCGCTCGAGACCTCCCTCGCGCAGCTCTTTCCCAAAGCTACGGGAGCGTACGTCGACCTCATGCTGGTTCACTTTCCTGCGACATGGGCCGGGGCGGGCGGCAAGGCGGCGCGGCAGGAGGAGTGGAGCGCGCTGGAGGCGTTCGTGAAAGAGGGCAAGGCTCGCGCGATCGGCGTGTCCCACTACTGCCGCCGCCACCTCGACGACATTCTCGAGATTGCGACGATCCGCCCCGCCGTCAACCAAGTCCAGTACCACGTGGGGATGGGTGCGGCCGGCCCGCTCGCCGACGACGACATGGCCTACATGCGCAGCAAAGGTGTCACGTTCGAAGGCTTCTCGCCGCTCTGCGGCCCCTGCGGAGGCGCAAACGCGACCGAGCTGATCTCGGGCGCGCTGGTCAGCAGGATCGGCCGCAAGCACGGCAAGAGCGGAGCGCAGGTTGCCCTCCGCTGGCAGGTGCAGCAAGGCATCCCCGTCATCCCAAAGAGCAAGGACCTGGCGCACCTCCGCGAAAATATCGACCTCTTTTCGTGGGCTCTCGACGCGGACGACATGGCAGCACTCTCTGCCGCGACCAAGCCGGCCGTGTCGGGCGCCACCAGTCCGGGCGGAGAGCCGGTCAGCGGCGATTGCAGTGTCGCATAGCCGAGCCCGCGCGCGCGCCTCGATCGTTCGGCGAGAGCAGCGGAGACGCTGCGCCCCGCGGAGCGGGCCCCGAGCCCGACCACTGCTCGACCAGCCTCGAGGCCAGAGACGCCACTGTACGCTCTCTCACACAGAGGACGACTCTGGGCTTGGAGTACGGTAGAGAGGTGTAGGAAAAATAACACATGTCGCTCTTCATTCTAGAGGGAGAAGGTAATGCCACTGCCCACTGATTGTGGGTCAGAGGCGCTAAAATGTAACGGGTCCCGGGATGCGAGGTCGCGGCGCGCGCACGGACACGACACACACCAGAGTGTCACAGAAGGGAGTGAAAGAGAGGCCTGCGGAGACAGAGACGAGAGCGGCGGCGTCTCTCAGCCCATCTTGAAGGCGTTGAGGCCGGTGGCCAGTTTGTGCACGGACGCCTTGTTGTCCCAGTCAAACTTGACCCTCGTGATTGGCAGCCGCCGGCGCAGCGCGTTGAGGACCGACTCGGACAGAGTGGTGTAGATGTCCTCCATGCTACCGAGGAAGCCGGCCTCGAGCTCGCACACCGCGCTCACGAACGCGGCGCCGACGTCGCCGCGCACCTGCGGCGTGCGGCGGGCAAGGCGCGTGCGTGTGTGGCGCGTGTGCCTGCGAGTGGCGCGGTTGGCGCGGTTCTATCGCTGGCGCGCCTCGATCGACTGCGTGAACTTTGTGCCGTCGTCGAGCTGGACGTTGCCGTCCTCGAAGTAGTGCACGTTGCACGCCACCGAGCCGGACAGCTGCCCCGACGCCGCGCCCTCGGACACCTCGAGTGTCCAGCTCGACCGCCTGCCCCACAATGCGAGATCATACAATTAATAGGTAAACCGCGGGACCGCCTGCCACACACGGCGTGGAGGGGAGGATGGTCGATCTGCGGTTAGAGGGCTGCGGCTAGAGGGCTGCGGTTAGAGGTCTGCGGCTGGAGGGCTGCGGCTGGAGGGCTGCGGCTGGAGGGCTGCGGCTGGAGGGCTGCGGCGGCGCGCCAGAGCCCCGACCAGTAGTTGCTCAGGTTCATGTTGCACCGGCCGACGCAGCAAGTGACTTGCTGCTTGCCTACCAGGCGCAGGCTCCGGGGGGGAGGTGAGGGAGAGGCCTCTGCAGCTCTGCTGCGGCAGACTCGCTGCTTGCCGCCGCGCACAAAGCCGTATGTGGTGACGGTGGCGTCCGGCAGCTGCGGCGGGGAGGAGGAGGAGGGGGGGGGGGGGGGTCACGAGCGGCTTGTGCCACGACGGCCGTCCGCCTCTGCCGTCCCTCTCCCCCCTTCGGCCTCTCCTCCCCGCCATCCCTCCCCTCCGCTGTGCACCAGAGGCGCGCAGCTACAGTCGCGCAGCTAGAGGCGCGCAGAACCTTGTCTGCGGCGTAGCGCGACATGGCGGCGTGCACGCTGGCGCGCACCCGCTCCGCGCCCTCGCACGCGGCGCTCGTCGCGGCGTCGAGCGCCTTGACGCCCGTGCAGCGCTGCTCAGCGTGCGAGATGAGCAGCGCCTGCCTGCCCTGCGGGTCGAGGAAGGTGAGCCCGCCGCCCAGCTGCCCCTCGGGCGTCAGCAGCACGCGGTAGCCGGCGCCGGGCACCTCGACCGCGAGGAACTTGTCACGGTTCACCCGCATCACCATCTCCTCCAGCGAGGCCGCGTCGAGGCAGTCGGCACCGACCAGCTTCGTGACGTCTGTTCGCGCAAAGGGCGGGCACACGCTGCGTCGGGCGATGGTGCCAACGCGCGGGCAGGGCGGGGAACGGGCAGCGGCGGCGTGGGAGCGCGCGCGGCCACGAGGAGGTCCGCCGCGGGCCGTGGCGGGCGCGCACCCTCAACCACTTTCTGCGTCTGTCCCGGCGGCGAGTTGAGCACAAAGTTGCTCGCGATCTCTCGCTTCTCCGCGTCTGTGAGCTCAGGCAGGAGCTCCTCCTCCGACATTGAGCAGGAGGGCGGATGCCTCTGCGGGCGCGCAGCGGCGGGTGGAGGTGAGGAGGGCAAGCGGCCGCCGAAGAGAGCAAAGACGCGCGTTATGCGGAGAGCTGGGCTGGTCGCATACGACGACGAGTGGACGCCGGCGACGAGAAACTAGCGGGCGCGCGGGGTGGCATGCACTTTGCGAGCCAAGGCGGCGCCGCTGGTACCGGTAGGCTAGTGAAAAAGAGAATTTTGCCTGCAAATTTTAGAACAAAACTCCTACAAACGTTATATTTATTTATTTATTTATTACTCCTACAAACGATAGTAAAAAAGAAAAGGGCGAGCGAAAAGGTCGACACATGGCGGGAAACACGTGGTGGCGGCGTGCCGTCCTCCCATCTCCCTTGGGTGTGTATTTTCTTTCTTTATTTTACATGGCGGGAAACAGAGAGGGCAGCCTGCGAGTCGCGAGAGGCGGCCCGCAACGACTCGCGGCGCGCCGCCAGCCACGCCGTGAAATCGTGGGCGATGTCGCTGTCGTCGGGCGGCTGGTACAGTCGTACAACCTCGACTCGAGGAAGGAGGTGCATGAAGGCCTCCATCTCGGGCGCGGTCACGTAGGCCAGGCCTGGGCAAAGAAACCAGCACCTCATCAGGCTTCCCTGAGCGTCACAGCTCGGTGATCGCGCCGGCCGGACACCACTGAGACGGCCGTTCCGGGCATTTGAACGCGACCTTCGGGGGCAAAGACATGGGCTCTATGGCTCAGACTGGACTCCTCTTGGTCCCTTCTGATGCCCTAGGCCACACCTGGGCCTTACCTGGAGCTCTAGGGGGTGGGCTGGGTTTGCCCCCCCAAACTGGCCCGAGGGACCTTAATGTCAGACCTGCACGACACTAGGCACGGGGTCGAGCTCTCGCCCGGCAACCCTAGCCAGGCCTCACGCGCTGGCCGCGACCGCGACCGCTCGAGCCCGAACTGCCCGTCAGACATGTCGGAATTGTCGGAGAATAGCGACTAGCACAGAAACCCGAGCGCCGAGGAGTCACACAGTCCACCTGTGTGATGCACGCCCTGCGAGCGGGGCGGGGTGCGCACTGTCCCTCTGTGTTCGTGTGCGTCGCCCATCTCTCCCTGGAGATGACTGCTCTATTTATTTGTGTATACTAGGCACGGGACTGGGAGAGAGAGAGATTTTAGAAAACCAACAAGAAATCACGACTGTCACAGTGATTTGGGCTCGGCAGCTTGTCAGCCCTCAGCCGAAGCTGGGGCCGGTTCCGTAGCCGAGAGAGCCCGCGCCGTGAGTTCGACGCGGTCGGGAGGCCTTACGGAGAGGCCAGCGAGGTGGCGAATGGGGGTCATCAAGTGACCGCGACTGACAAGCCAGAGGTCGACAAGCCACGACGACCTTCTTCTCGGGACTGGCGCGAAAAGAGAATTGTACGATGAAGAGAATTTTACAACAAAACTCCCACTCCCTGTGTGAAAAAGAGAAAAATCCCGCCACATGACAAGCGATCCACAACAGCGTCTGTGGACTAGAAGTAAAAAAGAAAAGGGCAACGCCAGAAAAGGTCGACACATGGCGGGAAACAGAGGAGGGCAGCCTGCGAGTCGCGAGGGCGGCAGCCTGCATCGGCGGCGGCCCGCAACGACTCGCGGCGCGCCGCCAGCCACGCCGTGAAATCGTGGGCGATGTCGCTGTCGTCGGGCGGCTGGTACAGTCGTACAACCTCGACTCGAGGAAGGAGGTGCATGAAGGCCTCCATCTCGGGCGCGGTCACGTCGTCGGGCGCGTCGACGGGCTGCAAGGCCGTGGTCCGCACGGCGGCGGGGCGGCTGCGCCAGGACTGGCGCGTCGCTGCCGACGAACCGAAGCAAAAAGGGCTGGACGATGGCAAGCCCGGCGCGCTGCATCTCGCGCCGGGACGGCGACCGGCGGGCGGTCAAGCACCTCGAGGGCCGCTACTGAGAGGGGCTTGCGCGAGCACGAGACGCCGCCCGCTTTTGTGAGCAAAAAAACAAAACCCGAAAATCCCTTTGCAGCCAAGCCTACAGGGCACCTAATTATCTGCCCTCGGGAGGGCGGCGGCGGCGGTGTAGGGATGGCGGCGAGCTCCCGGTTGCAAATACTCGCCTCACGGTCCAAGATGGCGGCTCACACGCCCAACCATGCTCTGGTGCGTCGATTGGGTCGCGTCTGCTGCCCGTGTCTCTGTCTTATCGGCGCGACGACAACAAGAGCTACCCCTACCGCGCTGTAGAGCAATGTAGAGCTGTAGAGCTCTACATCCGCAGCGTGACGAACTGCCTGCGTTGTAGAGCGATGTAGAGGCGCTCTCTACAACTGTACAACGTCCTCGATCGCCGTGCAAAGCTCGCTTCCGAGCTCTCACGCCGCGCGTATGGCCCTTAGGGGCCTAGAGAACACAACCCCCTCTCCCTCTTTTCTCCCAGTCAGCTAAAAGTACGTACAACGTGAAATCTCTACAACAAGAGAGAGAGAGAGAGCTAAAAGTACGTACGTACAACAAACTCTACGTCATAAGCGGCGAACGACGCACGGTCGCTCTCCGACATGAGGCGCGTTGCACTTGCCAGTGCTACGCTGGCCTTCTGTCTGCCCGCCCAATGGGTGGGAGGTGCCTCTGCTGCTGTGGCATGCCTCACGGCTGCGACTGGCCGGCGCCTCGGCGCGTCAGCTCGGATCGGCGTAGCGATAGTGGCCAGCGCAACTCGCCTGGACTCAACACTCAGCCAGGAGCTCCCGCACGCGCTGCCGCTGGCGCGAGTCGTGGCGCATGCAACGCGTCTGAATGCTCGCCTCGCCTCGCGCAAATGCGACCGCCCTCGCAGCCGACAGTCCACCGCCTGCTAATAAAAGAAGCACAGCGATGAATGCGGCACCGGCGACGCATGGCAGGCTGGTCATGACGCAGTTATAGGGTGCTAATAGGGTGTTGTGTACCGTCGGAGTGACTCTACATCGCTCTACATCGGACTCACATCGTCCCGCGCCGGATGAAGAGCTCTACAGCTCTACAGCGCTCTCCAGAGCGCTCTACATCTCTACAGCTCTACAGCGCTCTACACTCTACATCCTCTACACCCTCCCTCAGACCCTCGGCGCTGTGGGTCAGGCTGTGCTGTATAAGGCGCGCGGGGCTGGGTGCTCTGCTACCTTGCTTGCCACGCACGCTACTGAAGGTGCAGGTGTACACCTTGTACCGACATGTCGGTAGGCGCGCAGCGCCCACACCCGCTACCTAGGTGTGTGAGTGAGTGCTATACCTTCAGCGCACCATATACCGAGGTACCCACCACATGTCCACACCGGCACCTGGGGTACTCTCGAGACGTTCACACCGGCGGTGCGCGCGAATAAGGTGTGCACCGTCCGTCGCGCGAAACGCAACGACATAGCTCTCATGGCGCCCAAGAAGCCCTCCTCCACGCAGAACGCGACGCTCCAGTCCATGGGCATGGACGTGATCAAGCAGTACCCGGGCCCGCTGTCCCTGACAGTCTCGAGGGCCGTCAAGCTAGCCATCAAGCACTCTTCCCCGGGCAACAAGCACTCTTCCCGCACCTCACCGGCGCGGAGCAGAACGCGTCGTACACGGGCACGGCCGTCGAGTTCACGGAGCGGCACACGTTCGTGCGGCACGGCAAGGCCTGGGGCGCCGCGCACACTGGGCCCGGCATCCGCTTCATCTGCGACTCGGACGCCATAGCTCCGATGCTGCCGCTTCGGCTGCGCCATCCTCGGGCTCGGCCAGCCCGTCGACCTCCGGCCACGCCGCCGACCCACCCTCCGCCGGCCCGCTCGGTGGCGTCGACATGTCGCTGCTCCAGCGCGCCGGTGTTCTCCAGAACACGCCATACGCTGCATGAGTAGCGTGTCGGGCGGGGCCGTCGGGAGGGGGCGAGCGTGTGTCCGGCGAGGTGCCCACATACCTCACCCGTACTTTTACCGAGTAGCGCGCGCCGTGTCCTATACCTCCACCTTAGGTAAGTGGCCCATGTCTGTACCTGAGCTGTACCTCTACCGAAGTAAGTGTGCCGGCCAGCGCGCACACCGGTACCGGGGGTAGGGTCAGAGGGACTGTACCCAAGGTGTTGAGGTGAGCACCATCCGAAGTGTGGCGTTGCTTGTGTCTCCCGTGGCACCCGTGACGAAAAACGGACGCACACCAAGCGCTAAGCGTGAGGACGCGACTTCGAATTCGGAGGTGCATCTGAGCAAAATTGGGCCCGCTCAGGTGTGAAAAAATTATAAGGGTCAAAGCTGCCGATTCGATCCGGAAGCCACTCGACCACCGAGCGGCCGACGGCCGAAGTAAGCAGAGTAGATGATGGTCTAGAGGTAGTGTCCACTCAGCGACCGATACCCGTAACACATTACCGGGGGAATTAGACACAACAGATACGCACAACCGACGCCCGAAGTGCCAAGAAGGACGTCATTAGTACGAAACCTCAGAAGGCCATGGGCGCCGAGAGAACATTCCCCCGAGAGCCAAAAAAGAAAAAAAGAAAGAAGCACAACCGAACCTCCTTCCCAGGTTACCCCTGCCAAATGTCGCCACTCTCGGGGCATGCTATCCTGTGTAAGCAGGGCAGGTGGAATTCGGCAGGTGGGGGAGGGGGGCAGTCCCTCTGGTCTGATACTGGTGTGGTTCTGTCCCCAGCGTCGGAGGCAAGGGCGAAGCTAAGAATATTTAATTGTGTCTCCCGTGGCCGGTGGTTGGTTGGGTGGGGGTGGGTCGGTCGGTGGGGGTGGGTTTCCTCGCTCGCCTCATCAGCCGGGCCGTGAGGTGGGTGGGGCCGGGGGTGGGTGGGTGGTTCCAAGCCCCAGCCAGGCCGTGAGGTGGGTGGGGTGGCTGGGTGGCTGGGTGGCTCAAGAAGCTCCGTGCAAGTGCAAGTGAACGGAGGTGCACTGTGCCCGTTCACGTAAACCCGTTCACTTGTGAAAAAACCCGACGCCTCGTGACGGATTTAATGGCGGGAACAGAGCAAGTACGCCATGATGGGAGAGAGGCAGTACGCCCGGCTCGCCACTCCGCCGCCGGCGTCGCCGTCGCCTGGAGAGAGGTGGACGTGGCCTATGCTGCGGGCACTGCTCGCTCTCTGCGCCGCAAACGCGTCGGAGAGCGTCCAGGTCCTCTCTGCCGGCTTTCTGATAGACGAGATCGCGACAGTCCCCTTCGACCAGATCGCGATCGCCGCTAGCGTTTACCTCGGCATGTTCATCGGCGGCCTCGGAAGTGGCGCAGCCGCTGACTCCTGTGGCCGGGTGCGCACACTTCTCGTGTCGCTGTCGCTTTCCGCCGCCGCGGCAGCCGCTGCTGCCGCCGCAACCTCCGTCGCTGAACTGGCGGCCTGCCGTGCCCTCGCCGGCGTCGGCATCGGCGGCGCGACGCCGCCGCTCTTTGCACTCGCTACGGAGGTTGCACCGCGCGGCCAATCGGGCGCGGCCATCATCGCCGTCTCGACCTTTTGGGTGGTGGGGCAAATCCTCGCGGCAGCCCTCGCCCTTCTCCTCCTCCGCTCGGGGCCGGCGGCGGTGGCGGCTCCGTGGGCGTGGGGCGCTCGCTGGCGCAGCTTTGCGCTCTCGGCGGCGGCGGTGCCGGCGGCCTCCACGCTCGCCGTTTGGCGCTTCGTCGGCGAGGGTGGAGCCGGAGAGGGCGTGCGGCGCGGCGGCGAAGGCGGAGGTGGAGGCGGCGACGGAGGCGACGGAGGCGGCGGAGGCGGCGGCGGCGGCGGCGGCGGCGGCGGCGGCGGCGGCGGCGGCGGCGGCGGAGGCCCGCGCTCTCTCCGTTCCGTATGCGCCCTCCTCGCTCGCCGGCGGGTCGTCCGGGCGCTGCTACCCCTCGCGCTGGTCTGGTTCGGTGCGCCACCTCCGCCGCCCCCGCCCCCGCCGCCGCCCGCCGCGGCGGTGGTGGTGGCGGCCCCAAGTGTGTGCGTTAAGCCTTCCCCACCCGCCCTCCGCCTCGCCTAGGGCTGAGCTTCGGGTACTACGGGCTCTCCACCTGGGTGGCCGTCCTGCTGCGGGAGGAGGGCGCGGCGGGCTCGCCGTACTACGCCTCTCCACGAGGGACGGCGCTCTTCTTCTCGCTGGCGGCGATGCCAGGCAGCCTCGCCTCGGCGCTGCTCGTCGACCGCGTGGGAAGGCCGCCGCCGCCCGCCCCGCCCCGTTCCCGCACCTGCATCCCACACCACCGGCGCCGCCCACTCATGGAGAAGAGAGGGTCATGGAGAGGAGAGTCATGGAGAAGAGAGGGTCATGGAGAAGAGAGGGTCATGGAGAGGAGTCATGGAGAAGAGAGGGTCATGGGCGGTGCTGCGCTCTAGGCGGCTCCTGCTGGTCGCGGGGCTGAGTCTGGCCGCGGCGAGCGCGCTGGCGCTCTCCCTGCACGGGCCCGTCCTCCTCCTCGCCTGCGCCTTCTCCGCGTGCTCCATCTCGGGCTGGAACGCCCTCAACTGCCTCTCCGCCGAGTCCTTCCCCCTCGAGGCGCGCGCCGCCTCCCCGCCAGCCACCGCCAGCCGCCCGCCCACCGCCTCCCGCCCGCCCGGCCTCGCCCGCAGGTGCGCGCCACGGCCTTCTCGCTGCTCTCCACCCTCGGCCGCGTCGCGGCCATACTCGCGCAAGTCGTGGACGGCAGCCTCTCCCAGCGCGTCCCGACCCTATTGGCGGCGACGTCGGCCTGCCTCGCCCTCGCCGCGCTCGGCGGCGCACTCGCTCCCGCGCCGCAAAGCAGCCGGATCCGCGTGGAAGAGCTCAGCCCGCAGCCCGTCTCCGCGTGAGGGCGTGGTACGATTTTTTCATGTTTTGCATGCAGCATGGAGAGTCAGAGAGTCGACGCCCGGAGTGCGTCACAAGGGTTCAAGGCTCGTCGTAGCTCCCTCCGGCGCGGTACATGTAAGAGACCGGAGGCGGGCTCGTGGAGCGAAAAAAGAACCCAACCCGCAAGCGGCAAGCCGGCGACAAGGACTCACAGAGGTGACCGCAGAGCGCTTAAAAAGAGTCCGCAGCGCCACGTCTACGTCTCGTCCGCCGCCCTGACGCCCGCGGCTACCAGCAACCGCTCCCCCACCGCGGCGACGACTGGAGGGCAGACGGCGTTGCCAATCTGCCTGTAGAAGCCCGAGTAGCCGGCGCCCTGCTTGCGTGGCGGGATCGAGTAGCTCTCCGGGAAGCCCATCAGTCTCGAGCACTCGCGCGGCGTGAGGAAGCGAGGTCGGCGGCGGGGCGGGGCGCCTAGGGTTCGGGTTCGGGTCGGGTTAGGGTTGGGTGCGGAAGCGAGGGAGGCGGTGGGGCGGGGCGCCGTCGCGCGGCGTGCCGTCCCTCTCCTCGCAGACGAACTTTGTGGAGAAGCCGCCCGTCTTTTGGTAGAGCGAGATGAGGGTCGGCGCCTTGCCCTCGGTTGGGATGGCGCGGTCCGCCAGGCACTCGCCCCGCGCCTCCAGCTGGGCCATCACGACGGAGAGCTGCGCCTCCGTCAGCTCCGCCGCCTGCAGCGCACGGCCGGCCAAGTGAGGGAGCGAGAGGCGGCGCAGCTCCCGTGTGTGCTGGCCGTGTGTGCTGGGCGCCAGGCAATCCGGAGCGTCATCCGGCTCGAGGATCTCCGCCACGCTCCCGCCTCCTCCTGCCCCGGCCGGGGCATGGCTGCCGCCTACGAAGACACGTCCGAGGCATGTGCCGGAGACGCGTCCGAGACGCGTCCGAGACAGGTCCCCCGCGGCTGGCCGCCTTCGTAGCAGAGTCCGCTCCAGTCCATCGGCCGCGCCTCGCAGTCGCGCCGCACGCCCGCAAGGAAGAGGCGCTCGCGGTACTGCGGCAGCCTGAGAGAAGGGCCGGCGGGTGGGGCGGGAGGGGGAGGGGGGCGACGGCCGAGTGCTGCTGCGGCCGCCAGTGGCGCGAGTTGAGCACCCGCCAGCTCACGACGTAGCCGCACCCCTCGAAGGCGGCAACCATGCCTCGTAGGACGGAGCCGGCGCGGAAGGTGGTCGGCTTGCCGCTCACGGCCGCAGAGCGGCCTCCGCCCCCGAGCGTGACGAGGCCGGGCACGTTCTCGAAGAGGAAAGCCTTCGGTTATTGGGTCGAGGAGGCGGGTCGGCGGCGGCGTGTCTGGCGGGGGGGCGGCGGTGGAGGCGGGGGCGAGGAAAGCCTTCGGGCGGCAGGCGGCGAGCAGCCGGACGAGCTCGAGGTAGAGGCCGCCTGCGGGAGAGGGGTCGAGGAGGCATGCGCTTGAAGGGTGCAGAGGGGTCGAGGAGGCGCCTCCTCGCCAGGCGGGACGGGCCGGAGGAGGAAGAGGCCTCGGGGAGGGGGAGCGAGGTGTGGGCGGGTCGCGTGTGGACAGAGCGGGCTGACCTCTCCAGTCGGTGGGCGTGCTCTCGACGCCCCGCTGCTCTCCACGGACAGAGAAGGTCTGGCACGGGAAGCCTGCCGCGAGCAGGTCGAAGGCAGGCAGCTCGTCGGCAGGCAGGCCGGTGAGGTCTGCCTCGAGCAGGGCCCCGTCGCGCGCGAAGTTGAGCCGGTACGTGGCGCACGCCATCGGGTCGACCTCGCACGCGAGGCTGCACACCCCTCCCAGAGGCTCGAGGCCGAGGCGAAAGCCGCCGATCCCGGCGAACACCTCTGCAAACGTGAAGGGCGGCGGAGGCGCTGCCGGCAACCCGCGGGCGGCGGGTGGCGCCCGGCCCAGTACTCGCTCGTGCCTCCTCACGCCGGAGAGGTAGACGACCGGTGCGCGAGATACAAACTCAGCGAGACTGGTGCAGAGAGGCGCCTCTCCTGCGATGGCCGCCTCGAAGAGCGTCGCGATCGGCGGAGGGCAGTGCACCATCAGCCCCGAGTCGAGACGGCGGTGAGGCGACGGGCCGAGGCGGTGGGTCTCGAGAGGCAGCCGAGCGCCGCACGCCGAGAGGAGCAGCTTGCGCAGTCGCTCCGCGGAGTGCGGCTGGACCAGGACAGCGCCGACCGGGAGGCCGCCGTGAGGCTCGGCGCGGTGGGCGAGGGCGAGCGACCAATCCGCCATCCACTCTGGCACTGCTCCCTCCGCCGCCGACACAGCCGCTGCACTGCTCGCTCCACCGGCCGCCACGCCAGCTACGACGTCTGCAGGCACTTTCTTCGGTTGTGTCATAAGGCGTCTCGATCGAGCGGCCTCGCGACGGCGCGACGGCGCCGGCGACGCCTCTCCAGTTCTCGCGCGTGGCTCAGGCGAGGCTCAGGCGAGGCACACGACGCTCTCTTTGGATACTACCCTGGGTGGGCGGGGCCTCTACTTGTCAGCGCGCATGGCTGTCTGCGCCACGCGAAAAGAATTTTAGAAGCACGGCAGGCGGTCACGACACGATTCACGCGACAGGCGAGGCGCGGGCGACGGCTTCCTCAGAAAAGAATTTTAGAATAACCGTGTAGAGGCGGAGCGCAGAGCCAACCCTCGGGGACCCGTGTTTACTTTACGGCCCTTTCCCTGCGAACGCGCACCCCCGGGGCTAGGGCTCTCTTGCCCGCAACCCGATCCCGATCATCCGGCCCGCTGGGTGCGCTCCTCAGCTCCCCGGCCCTGGATGTGAGGCTAATGACTGCACTCCAAGTGCTCCAAGAATAAAACTCCCTCGCAGGACACTGGCACGGGACTGGAAGAAGAGAAGAGAATCTCTCTCTCTCTCTCTCTCTCGGGACTGCGACTGGCGCGCACTGGCACTAACACAGGTACGCCTAGTGTCGTGCGCGAAAAGAAATCGGAGTTGACACGTTGGGAATAGCGGTGGATTCTTCTCGAGGGGTACCAAGGTATGCCCCATCTCGGGACCCATCTCGGCTGAGCCCTGGTGCGGACGATTTTTTTGCGGTATCTTGATGTATCTCTCCAATATCTGTGACCATATCTCCCCGTAAGCGAGCTCACGAGCGAGCTGTCATAGTCCCATCATGGATGACGTAGAGTCCCCGAGATGAGGAGTGTCTCGTGGATGGTATTTTGTTCGTAACGCTACCTGATTGGCCTAGACGAGCGGCCTACCTCCAACAGGTCGGGTCCGACCGACAGTGCCTCCTCTCCACCACCCTCGCCCAGGGATCTTACAATGCTGTCTTAAGGTCCGACCTGTGTGGGCACTGCCTGCGCTCGGCACCGGGCACCGCCTCGCCCTCGGTATACAAAATGCGCCTGCGGGCGCGGACCCTCACAGATCAGATCAAATCAGAGTCGTCACAAAGTAGCGCTATAGAGTAGGCGGCATCGATTTTCGCACGAACGGAATACGGAATCTCCGCTTTCCTTATTTGTCCGCAGAGCATAGAGCAAGCAAGTCGGGGAGAGATTTTTGAAAACTTTTCTTGCAAGTGGTCGGCAGCGGTATACGACCAACTTTGCAATGTGACTCTCCAGCGAGTATGCTCGAGGCGGAAGGCAATGTCATCCAGGCCGCGGGCCCGCGGCCGCTCCCGCGGCTGCAGCCGCACCTGAGCCGCACCGGCTGCGGCCACGGGCCCGTCCAATGGCAATGCGACGACGGCCGCAATTAATGCCCTCATCGCCCAGCGCATTGGTGGTGCGCCTCAGCAGAACAATACTTGTCCCAATGCGAAAGAATATTCGCAACGTCTTGGTGTGGGGGGTACTGGCGGCAGCCGCAACAGTTGATTTTACGAATTGCGCGATGTTAGCCCTCGTCATGGCCGCCGCCGTCCTCGTGAGCGACGGCGGGCAGCGCTTCTGTGAGATGGAGCCGGCCCAGCGGGCGGCGCTCCTGGCTAGTGCCCAGGTGATCCTTGCTTTTGGTGGCCGGCCACCCAGCAGACACCGATACCATGACTGGCCCCTGCGTCGTAGGTGACACCGGGCGTTATGCCAACCGCATGCGCAAGCGGCTTTGGCGGTGATGAGGAGACAATTTGCCCGGATCCCGCACAGGAACTGTTTGGAGCTGGCGGGGCGGACGGGGACTGGGCCAACACGACGTCCAGCCCGGAGAAGCTGCTCTGCCGCATCGCGGAGGGTTGCCGGTTCAACACGGAGAATGCAAGCGTCATCGTCATAGTCTCACACGGCAACTTCATCCGCGAGGTGGCCAAGCTGCTCCAGCTCGATGATAGCGCGGAGCGCACTGTCCTGCAGCGCCAGCTAGGGCTTGCCGCCAGCAACAACCTCTTCACCCTCAGCATCCGATCCCAGGGCGTCGTGTACGTGCTGATGCGGCACTGCCGGAAGCAGGGGCAGTTGACAAACATCTCGCCTATAGACCCGCCGTGTGTGCAAGCTGCCGAAGGGCGGATCTGCGGCGTGTCAGAGGCGGTCTCCCAACTGACGTGGCTGATGCGACAGTGGGGCATCAGGCCCGCAGGTCAAGTCGGCCTTTACAGCAGCTGCACGCGACGCGCCAAGACCACGGCGGCGGCCCTATGGGAGGCGATCCCCGCGTGGTGGGTGAATGGGGTGAATGCCAATGGGACGATACCCATGCTGCCCTACGTGTCAGAGGTCCGCGCGAGAAGCTTTTGCGACTGATACAGCGTGTCCGACGTACTTGAGTCAGACTCGAGTGTGTCGTGCTCGTCGGGTACCGAGTAGCGAGTAAGGTGCCAGGTGCTTGAGTGCGCGTGCCCCAGGCACGCAACACGCAGGTGCCTGCCGCGGTACGGCAACACACGAACCGGAATATAATATATATCGCATGTGTTCGCTGTCGTCGAGATGTACTCTCTTTGCTAGTAGCGTGGCGTATCTGAGCCTACCTCGCGCTGCGTTTATGTACGCAAGCTTACAAACCCCACCGCTCACTGCTCATGCTTCTGCGCTCCCAAGGCACGGGCCCGCTCGCAGCACTCCCGCCACACGCGAATCTCTTCCTTGCAGTAGACCTCCTTATGGTTCTTACTAGCCAGGCACCGCTGGATAGCACATGCTTGGTCTTTGCACAAACGCTGCTCTATGGGCGCGTCATCCGGCTGCCTCCTGCCAGATCCCGTGTACACAAAGGCGCCTTGCTGCCTCGTCGGCCGCTCGCTCATCACTGCTGCTGGCGCTCAGCCCAGCTCGCTCAGGCGTGTCGCACTTGATCGCACGTCGACACACGGCGGGAACGTGTCCTCGGCTCGCGGGTGCGGCCCGCGGGTCTGCGCTCCTCTTGCAAGGCCCGGCGCAGCCCAAGTGGGTCTGGGTTCGGCTCCGAGATGTGAGGGAGTCAAAAAGCCACTCTCCCACGACCAATCGCCTCGTTCGTGCGTTCACGCCGCACCAGCACAATTTCACCCAGACAAGACTGTAGCAGGCGAGGCAGGCTCCCTGAGTCGCTCCTAGGTCACGACGCTCGACGCCGCGGGCAAAAGCCAAAGGGACCTCTCCTACCCGCGCCACGGCCGTCGCGTGCGCTTTTTCCTGTGGCTTTTTCGCGCGTGGTCCGTGGCGAAACGGCCACCGGGGAGCGGGGTAGCTGCTCCACCTCGTTTCTGAGTCGATTTCTGAGGGGGGCACCCCTGTCCGACTACGAGCCCGACCCCTGGCGGGCGTCGAAGCAAGGATCGCTTACCAGAAAACTTCAACAGCCCCTCGTCCCATGCAGCACTAGCGCGCTATTATCTGAGTGCGGGTGGGCAAGCCCTAAAACGGCGGGAGGGGTAGGGGTGCCGCTGCTTTCGTCGCGCTCCGCGAGCTTGGCCGCCTGCCCCTTCATCATCTTGAGCATGTTGAGGAACCCGTTGTTGCGGCCGGGCGTCAGCGACTGGGCGATGCCCGCTGCCTGGATGAAGCTTGGGTCGACCGCCTGGATCTCCTCATTCGTGCAGCCGGAGAGGCCGTTGATCAGCAGGGCCGCGATGCCTTTGGTCAGCTGCGAGTCTGACTCGCCCACGAAGTTGATGGTATCGTCATCGCCCAGGGAGCCATGCACGTAGACGGTCGAGAGGCAGCCTGGCACCTTGTTTGCGTCCACTGCGAGCGACGCGTCCATCGGGGCAAGCTTTTGAGCGAGAAACAGGAGCTGCTGGTATCGTAGCTTCTGGTCGGGCACCGACTTGAAGCCTCGTACCACCTTTTCGAGCTGCGGCGTCAGGCCGAGGCTGGACAGGTCCTCGCCGGCGCCCGCGCAGGCGGGCGGCGCACGGACGCGGCCACAACGTGCGGCCGCTGCGGCAGCAGGCAGCGCCACGCGCACTGCAGCAGCCAGCGACGGCGTGCCGAGCACCATCAGCACGACCGAGGCTCTTGCGAGCACCTTCACCATCTCGCTTTTGCGCCAGAACGAGCCTAGAAAGCTCGCGCGGCGTCCAAAAGAATTACGATAGGTCGCGTCTTCTTTCTTTCTTTCTGGTGTTTTTCTTCTCTTATTTTTTGCTCTGCAGGGTGGGCCCTGGGTTGTGCTTTTAAAAAGAAAGAAAACTGCGAAGCCAGGGGAGGGATGCGGATGGGAGGACGGCACGCCGCCACCACACAGGGATTTTAAGGAGAGGAGTGTTTTGCTAGCCGTCGCCCACCCTTGGGCGTCTGCCTCTTCCTATCAGAATCTCTCTTCGCCCTCGTCGTTCTCCCTCCTGTCGCTTCCTCCTCGCTGACTCGTCGGACGTCGCTCTCCTCTCGTCCTCTGCCTCGTTCTGCGGCGGCGCCGCCGCCGCCCGCCGATCCCTTGCTCTTGCGGCTTCTCCCGCCTCTCGGCGCAACTCCGCCCTCCTCGCGGCCTATTCGGGTTGTGCTTTTGTGGGTCCCCCGGGGGGGTTCCTCGCTTTTCTTTTGTTGATTGTTCTCTTTCCCTGCTTCCTTTTCCTAGATCCTACTTCCAGCCTCTCACGCGTGTATAAAATCTGCCTGCGGGCCGACCCTCACAGCTCACGGCCTTCGGGTGCCTTTCCTTTGTATGTGTCCGAAACTCCGTTGGCCGCGATGGAAGCTCGCAACGACCAACGTTTATTCTTGCCGCTCCACGAGCCAGCGCGGTTTTCGAGGATAGACCCACACACCGAAGAGAGAAATACGTATCCCGCGGTAGCCGCTCGTGGGCGCAGAGTCCCAAGGGAGGGAGACGTGTGCAACACGCACCGCCTCGATCCGCCACAGCCCACAGACGAGTTCATTCCGGACCAGAAGGACGACGCGCCAGGCGCCATCCCACCACGCGTTGACGCTAGTGCTGCTGCACCGCGCAATGTAGCCTCTGCTGCGTCTCGTGCGGGAGCCGCTGGGAGGGGAGGGGAACGGGAGGGGTCAACGGGAGGCACAGGGGGTCGGGCGAGGCGAGCAGGCGGCGCTCACCTGAGCCGCATCGAAGAGGGAGATGCCGAGGAGGCTGTGCAGAGTGCGTAGCAGCGAGATGGCGCCGCGCGCACCCTCCCTTGCCATCCGCAAAACAGTGGTGCACTAACCCCGAGAACCCTTCGGGTCACTCCTCAATCGCAAACCCTGTCAGCAGTCCTCCTCCGGGAATGTACGTAAGAGCCACATACAACGAAAATCCAAGTGCGCAAAATGCAACAGCTCCTCACTCCGTCGGCTCCCGGGCTGCAATCGAGATCGAGCCATGATTGAGTGGGAGTCGGTCCGCACACGCACTGTGTGGAGTGCGGTGCGGGACGGTGCATCTAACCCGTAACCGCGGGCCGCCGCAAATGTGAAATGACAATCTCTCAGTAAATTGATAAAAACAAAAACACTTTCGGGCCACAAGTGCTCCAAGTGCAAGTCCGGGTTGCCAAAGTGCGCCACGGCGGCGCGGAATCGCCACCAGCTCGGTTCGCGTGTGTGCTCACTCCTCACTCTCTCTCACGTGCTCTCGAAAAAGGAGGAACAGCGGAAAGAGGAGCAAGACTTTTCCTGTGACATTTCCAGACAGGGGTAAGCCCGCTCTCTCTCTCCCGTCTCTCTCGCTCTCTACTCTCCGACGCGTATTCTCGACGACGTCACCGGGTGCCCGGCGGCGCAACCCCCACCCGGAGCTGTGCGCACTCGGGACTATCACGCAGCTGCCTCGCGAGGTGCCTTCCCGCCGCCTCGTGCAAGGCCAGGTCCATCGCGTATTTGCTGCCATGCGCGAGTTCAAAGTCCGGCGCCACAGGATAGGTGTGGATCTCTCTCGCATCCAGCGCGCCCTGCGGCCTCAGCCCGAGCGAGCGCATCAGCAGGCAGACGGACGCGGCTTGCTCCTCCACCAGGCCGACCAGCGCGTACCGCTGCAGCGAGCGCAGGGCGCAGTCGCGCCCGGCGAGGCCGACCGGCCTCTCCTGCTCGTGCACCGCACCACCACACAGCATCCGAACCGCGTAGTTGTCGTCGAGGAGCAGCTCGAGCCGGGAGGGTATCGAGCCGCCCGGCGTGGCCGACTCTTGCTGAAGCAGGCTGGCAGCCGGCAGCCGGCGAGGGAGCTGCTCCAGGGCGCGGTCTCGCGCCGTGTAGAAGGCCGTCTCGACGGCGACCGCCACGTGCCCCCCAGAGGCGAGGACGAGGGAGCAGTTTGAGCCGGGCCGCGGCGTGCAGATGCCGCGGAGGCTTGCCATCTCCCCGCCGAGGCTCTCCCCCTCCCTCCCCAGGCAGCGCGAGCGGAGGCCGAGGCAGAGGCGGGCCCAGCTGATGAGGCGCTGCGCCGGCTCGCGCAGGAAGGTGAGGTAGGCGTGCGGCCGCTGCGGGAGGAGGTGCGCGTGGAGGCCGTGCGGGCAGTGGCGGTAGACGAGGAGGGGGTGCGCGAGCCTCTGCTGCAGCTGCACCAGCTCGCGACGCGGCAGCGAGGGAGAGCCAAAGCGGCCCAAGCCGCCCTCGTAGCAGTTGATGCCCACCGCGTTGCCGGTGAAGCGGCCTGCCCGCAGCGGTCGGTTCATCCGGAGCCCGACGATGGCCGCCAGCGAGGGGAGCAAGATGCAGTCCTCGAGCACGGAGCCGGAGGTGCGCCGCAGGTGCGTGAAGAGGATCACCCCGCCGCCCTGCAGCGTGCGGCCGAGCGGCCCGACGGCGCCGAGCCCTCGGAAGCGGAGCGGCGCTGCTCGCCCGCTGAAGACCTGGCCACACTGCCAGAGGGTGAGCGGCTTGAGCGAGCCATTCCAATGTTTTCGTGAGCGGTTTGCGCGCGCAGGCCGCGTCCGAGCCCACCACGGCAACGCGGCGTCGCTGCTCGAATTGTCGGCGCCCCGCCTCAGCTGCTCGGACGCCACCCACGCCTCCCACCGCCGCCACCAATTTGGATCGATCTGCTCGCCCAAGCTGGTGTAGTGGTGGATCTCGTTGAGATATCTTCCAAATATGCTCTTCCCGAGCCGGCAGCATGCAGAGAGGCGCAGAAAGGCTACGAGTGCTCGACGAGTTTTGAGACCTGCGCGGTCAAACCTGGGGGGAACTGACCGCACCATGACGGACGTCCGAAACCTGCGTGAGCACGTATGACGGTTCTCGCTCCCCATCGAGCATTTCTTGCCGCACGGCTCTTCCTGTGTGCCGGCACAGAGCTCCGTGCAAGCCGTCCAGCGTGACGTGACGAGTATATCGCTTCGACGGATCGACCGTGCTTGTTATCAAGACTGATATGACGTACACAGTGACACATCAGACGACACATATTCTCTCCCCCGGCGGGCCGCCAAAACGCTCTCGACGAGAGCCACAAGAAGGCGTCCGCACAGCAAGCCGGTGGAGGCCGAGCGCGCGGAATCGATGATGGCGTGCCGGCCGTGGGCCCGGACGAAGGTCCTGGCTCGAAAACGCGAGCAGAGGCCGCCGTGTGGGGCCACGGCGAGCCTCGGAGAGAAAGGTCAGCACCCTATCTCACGCGGTCGGTTGGGTACATTGCGACCAGGGAGACTAAACAACCAAACCCAGTCGGGGGCCTCTGCCCCAGCCTCGCGGTTGCGGAGCTGCACGCGCTCGGTGGCGAACTCTGCTCACACCGAGCAGCTGTGGTAGCGGCAATAGCAGACAGGTCCATCCATGGAGCGAACGGCAGCACGGCCTTCTCGCAGCCCGGCGCCGCAGCGTCCGGCTCGTCGCCCTCCCGTGGCTTCCTCGCCGCCGGCTCCTCGCATATCCTCCAGGCGAGGGCTTCGCAGGGCCGCCGCCCTCGCCCTCTGCGCCGCAGCCGTGGCCTCCTTCGCCTCCGGCTCGTTTGAGCTTGGCGCCTGCTGCGCTGTCTCGATTGCCACGCTTCTTCTGCGCGCCGCACTCGACGACTCTCCAGTAGTGGACGGCAACGACTTTGAGGTTGTTATTCGCGCCACAAAGGAGATGGAGTATCTGCTCGAGGAGAGCTTCCGTGCGCCACCGACAGCAGGCCTTCACGAAAAGATCAGCGTGGCCCAGACGCCGGCGGGTCAGCCGCTGCCGGAAGGAGTCGTCCGCCGAATGCGGAAGCTGGTCACGATACGCAACCAGTTGGTGCACGATCGAGGGGTGAACGCCGTCGACCGTGCCGCCTTCAGGGACGGTTGGGCGGCGGCTGAGCGAGAGCTGCGTACGCTTCTGCCCGCCGACTCCATGCCGTTCTGCGTTATATCTTGATATGTGTCATTCTACTCACTGGTCCTGCGCAGCGCCGCGAGCGAATTGTTTCGACGAGCTCCGACCCTTTCGTCGAGATCGCGGTGCCCCGGTGGTGTGGGGGCACATAAATGATCGTGTGTACGTGTGTATTCGTGTTGGCTGTTGGATCGTCATGTGACGACCGCGCGGCGCGCGACCGCGCCGTGATTCGCATGTGCTGGTGCGGCTGAGAACACTCACAGATAGATCTCATGGTGCCAGTGGATGTTATGACACACTCGCGGTGGACTGGGGCATACGTTACTAACAGCGGTTTTGCTCTACCCAAGGAGGAGAGGCCAATCGAGGAGTGACGACCAATCGAGCCACCGGGAGAGAGTGCGGCGCAAGGCCAGTCAATCTCCCGGCGCACGGAGGGGCTGCACCGCCCCTCCCCTTGCCCCCAGCAGCCCTGGCCAGAGCAGCCGCCAACCTCAACACAAGCGCCTCACATCTTGGCCTTGCGCGCGGCGGAGCGCTCCTTGCGCGCAAGCATAGCCTCAAACCGCCCAAAGTCGGTGAGCTGTTTGCGCGCCGCGGAGCGTGCCCGCTTCTTTGCCCAGCTCGTCGCCTCCCACGCCGCAAGAGTGCCCTCCGCCTCCCACGCCGCCTTCAGCTTCCTGCAAGGGGGAGGGGGGGGGGGTGGGTGTCGGCGCCTCGTCGCCCTGGCGGCGGGTTGGCTGTGTGGCGAGGCGGCCAATCGCTGCGGGTCGCGCAACGCGGACGAGCCGAGAGGGGTGGAGGGGGGTGGGGGGGGGGTGGGGGGGGCGGTCGCACTTCCGCGTCGAGTTGAGCGAGATGGACACAGTCAGGTCCGTGAGCATGAGCCGCTTCACGGAGATGCCCATGCGGGTGCAGCCAGCCTCACCAGCGCCGGTGCCGTCGACGAGGACGTGGCCCTGATCGATCATGTTGATGATCGTGCAGAGCTTGCCCTCGTTCGGACCATACGTGATCAGGCACACCCGGCCGACCTCCACAAAGCGCTTGAAAGTCATCGCGGCGTCTGCGGGGAGCGGGTGTACGGCAGTTGGGAACTCGCACGCGGGGGGCGACAGGGGCGGATCGGTCGGGCGCATCGGCGACATTCGGTCGCTGGCGGCGGCGCCCTGCTCGACGAGCGCAGGCTCGGCGCCCGGGGAGGGGAGCCGGAGGGGCCGGCCGCCGGACCGGGGCGCGCGTGGTGCGCATCTCGGCGGAGGCCCCGCAAGAGGCCCGCGCCGGGCAGCGGTGCGAGAGCAGCACCTGAGAGAGACACGAGGCGCGAGGGTATTTCTTTTTCCTTTCTCGCCACTCCAACAAACAACATACTAAACCAGAAGAAGAGAGAGGAAAGAAATCAGTAAGCAAGAACGGATCGATCGCAAAGCCGCATAATGGCGGACTCAGCGTCCCCGTCCGGCGACGGCCCGAACTCCCGCTTGGCCTTTCCAAGGGGTTCCTTTCCGTCCGTGTTTCCTGCTAGTTTCCCTATTCTAGTTTTAGGCTGACAAAAATCTCTCTCTCTGAGGCTGTTTTGGGGCCAAAATGTGCCGCTTCCTCAATTTTGCCCCAGAACAGCTCTCAGAGAGAAAATCAAAACACAAAGGGAGGATATTCGTGGTGGTAGGGTGTGAGTCACACACACACACACTGGTAGGTAGGTAGGTAGAAAGGTGAAGAACAGCCAGGCTCGGACTGGACACCCACGCGGTATGGGTGGACGCTAGACCCAGTAGGCAAACAACAGGACGGATGATCGATCGCAAAGCCGCATAGAAATGGCAGACTCTGCGCAGAGCTTCATCTTTATTGGCCTCGCCACGCTCAACATCGTCATATCCCTCGACGGCGGCGGCGTGCCTGCGGCGCTCACAAATATCCAGCTCAGGTTCGGGCTGCAGGCGTGGCAGCTCGGGCTGCTCGGCTCGCTGGTTTACGTCGGGCAGGCGACAGGATGCCTGCTCGGCGGCCCGCTCCTCAAGCGCTTTTCTCCCACGCGCGTGTGCCGCGTGATGGTCTGCCTCAACACGGCGATGACGGCGATGTTTGCGAGCAGTCAGAATTCTGCCTGGCTGCTGAGCACGCGCTTCTTCATCGGGCTGCTGCAGGCTCCCACGTCGGTGTATTTCCCCGTCTGGGTCGACGAGTACGCCCCGCCGGAGCGGCGCACCCGCTGGATGGCCCTCATCCAGGGAGGGACGCCGCTCGGCATCATGCTCGGCTACGCCATCTCGGGCGTCATGACCCTCGACAAGGAGCTCGGGGACGGGTGCCATGCCGGGTACATCGAGCACGCAGGCAGCTGCCTCAGCACTGAGGGCTGGCGAGTCCCCTTCTACGTCCAGTCGGCTGTGCTCGTCTGCTTCACCATCGCCGGCTTCTTCCTCCCCCAAAAGTCCTTTGACCTTCCCGACACGGCGAGCGACCCTCGCCGCCGCTGCCCTCGCCTTCTCTCTCCGCCGCCGTCACGACACTTCGTCCCTGATCGCTGCTACCCTCACGACACTGCCTCTCTCGCCGCCACTGCTCTCGCCGCCGCAGCCCTCACCGCCGCAGCCCTCACGATGCCGCTTCCCTCAACCGCCACACCCTCCCTCCTCCCAGGTTGACGCCGGGCTGCGGCAGGCGCAACGCCAGTCGCGCTTCTCGCAGCAGCCACCGCCTTCGTTGCGGGAGGACGCCTCGCACGCCGCAGAGGCGTACGACGAGACGCCGCCGATGATCAAGCCGCCGCAGGTCGCGCGCAAGCCCACCAACCTCGACATCGCGCTCGAGAAGATCTCGTCGCGCATCACGAGCGTGCCTCACGGCGCGGCACACGGCCGACACGCGGCGCCGAGAGGGAGACGGCTCACGCCCGCCCGTCTCGCGCCCCAGGCACGCACAACGAGCAGCACAGCGTGCTCGGCCGCGAGCGGCTCGACTCGGGCATGCTCGTCGTCGAGGCGGCGCGCGAGGTCTTCTCCCTCAGCCGGCGGGCGAGCGCGCCGGTGATGGCCGCCACGGGCTCGATTGCCGCCACGTCGCCCGTGGAGACGCCGGTCGGTTCGCCGAGCAAGGGAAGCAGCGGCGGGCTGACGACGAGCGGGCCTGCGACGTTATCCGCAAAGGCGCGTCCCCAGCCCGCCCACGCACCGAAGCAGCACAGCCGCCCGCTGCGGACTCGCTCCCCCGACCGAGGGGCTGGACGCGCCTCGCGCAGGCGTCCACGCGGTCCGGCTGCCTGAGCTCGCTGTCGGGCGGCTCGGGCGGCTCGGACGGCAGCGAGAAGTCGGCCGGCGCGGTTGGCGTGGCTGACGCTGGCGGGCAGGCGGGAGGAGACGCGCCCAACGACGAGGAGGAGGGGATTGGGGTGGCGGCGGACGCGCCGCTGTCACACAAGCCGACGAGCGTGCGGCGGGCGGTGCGCCACTTGCTGTCGAGCCGCGTGTTTGTGTCGACCGTGTTTGCAAACTGCGCGCTCTTCTTCGTGGTGACGGGGATCCAGTTCTGGGTCACCCCGTACCTGACCGACTACCTCGGCGCGAAGAAGCTCACCGTCGTCTTCATCTTCGCCATCACCTCCATCACGGCGCCAATCATCGGGCTCGCCGTCGGAGGGACAGTCAACGACCGGCTCGGAGGCTACCAGGGCAAGCGCGGGGTGGCCCGCACGCTCAAGGTGGATGCGTGCTTTGGCTGCCTCGCCGCCATCGCCGCCATCTCCGCGGCGGCGGTGCCGTCAGGCAAGGCCAAGGTATTGGGGTACGAGAGCTTCCCGCTGGGCTTCGACGCAAACTGCTGGGCCGTCGTCGCGCTCCTCTGGATCACCCTCTTCTTCGGCGGCTGCATCGTCCCGTCCACCTCGGGTGTGTGTCCCCGCGGGGCCGCGCCGCAGCCCCCCTCGCCGCCCACTCGCCCCCGCCTCGCCCCCTGATGGAGACCGCCTCGCCCCCTCAGGTGTCCTGATGGAGACGGCACCGCCCGACGCGCGGCCGGTCGCGTCGGCGCTCGGGATGTTCTCCTACCAGCTCTTCGGCTACGCGCTCTCGCCGCAGGTCAGCTCGCTGGTGATGCAGATCGTGGGCTCGTCCAGCGAGGAGGAGGCGCGCGCGCGCCGTGCCGCACTCAGCCCCCGGCACGGCCAGCGGCACAGCCTTTCACGCGTGCCGTGACCTGCACCTGTACCTGTCCACCAGGCGGAGCAGGGAGTGCTCTCGCCGACCCAGCTGCGCGTCGGCTTCTACACCGTCATGTCGTGGGGGTCGATTGGCTTCGTCTTCCTCACGATCGCCTCCTGCTTCGCCGCCCGCAACCTCCGGCGCGAGATCGCCGCCGCCAGAGAAGACCCCGTGGTGAGCATAGAGGCCAGCCAGAGGGCGTCACTGGTGAGCGAGCAGGCCAGTCTTTGAGCGTGTGCCGCCAGCACGCAGCAGTGCCGCCGTGATGCTTCTGCGCCGCCCTCGTTGACTTGGACGTTTGCGTTGGTTTTGCGAGCCTACTTGCGGCAGCCCGAGCGCCGAGGTGCATGTGGGAGCGCGAGCAGCACGCCCGCGGGGGCCACTCCCCCCAGTCGAGTGGATTGGACACGATTGATGATGTGCCATATCGCGCCGCGGGGGCTGTAACCAAGTAAATTGCTCGCACATAAACCGAACGCCGCCGCTCGAGTGTATGTGACTTGTGACATAATTCACGGTTCGGATATGTGATCGCGGTGAGACACACATGCCACATAAGATATATCGGTTCGGATGATCGGTGTATGTACGGTGAGACACACACATATATATACAAGAGCTAGTACGACTTTACGGACGGGTATACACACACGTGGAGCCCGCGCCCGCCGCACCCATTCGCCATTGCAGCTCACGTATTAATATCTCAGGGCTCTGTGCCACCCGGCATTTTCCCGTGCACACACACCGCCCCCGCTCGCGCGGCCGCGGGTTGTGGAGCGAGAGAGGGCGCCGCCTCCGGCCAGTCTCCCAGATAGCAGACTCAGGTAGTCGTTTTTTAATGGTGTAAGATGTAAAGAGACGACGCCCCAAGATGACATCGACATGCACAAGCGAGAGACCCAGCGCGAACCGGCACCGGCGTATATTCGTACTTCTCTACTTGGCACTTGCGATTGTGTGCATGCCGCATCGCATCGCTGCATGCTAGCTAGGATGCTGGGGCAACTCCGGTAAACCCCAGCCAAGCGCCCGCTCTCTCAGCTCGCGTTGCTCTCGCCGCGGAGCCGCTCGACCAGCCAAGCGACCGCAGACTGCTGCGCGTGTGCATTCCCCTCCAGCGAAGCGATGGCGTGGCCCTCGCCGGGGAACTCGAGCGCCGTCACGTCCGCCGGCGCCCCTTTGCGCTGACGGACCTGCTGGAGAGCGCTCACCCAGCTGCGGCCCTGCTTGTGCGGCACGCGCTGGTCTGCTGCGCCGAGCAGCATGAGGGCCGGCGCCTCCACCCTGTCGATCACGCTCAGCGGCGACCGCCTGTGCAGCTCGAGCAGATCCTCCGCGCCGACTGGCCACGTCGCGTCTGCGCCCGCCGCGTCGCCCTGCAGCCCCTCGGCGCTCACCCACTCCGGGATGTCTGTCGTCCCGAGCATGGCGGGCAAGTCGACAACCTGCGGTGGGAACACACAAGGGTCGGGGGCGGGAGTACGGCCTCGTGCGGTGTACTCGTAGGGCCGTGTGAGTCGAGGGATACGAATACAACGAGCACGGCTGGATACTGTCGAATGTAGATGACTGCGTGTCCTGCAAGAGTACGCATTCAGCTTCTAGGGCCGACTGCCGGGTTCCAGAGCACGCCGCACGAGTAGAGGGCCCTCTGCTCGCAACCGAGCAGCCACGCGGTCAGGAAGCCGCCGTGCGACCCGCCGTACGCACCGCCGCGGGCCGGGTCGAGGCTCTCGTCCAGCTGTGCGAGGCTCGCGCGAGTGAGAGCCACGCAATCGCCCACGTCCATCTCCCCGACGTGGCCCGGCAGCGCGGCGCAGAAGTCGTCGCCGAAGCCGATCGAGCCTCGGTAGTTTGGCTGGATCACGCAGACGCCGCTCGCCAGCAGCAGAGCAACCTCGACGCTCCAAGAGTCGAGCGACGCGCTGTGCGGACCGCCGTGAATCTTGAGCGTCCACGGCGCGCGACTAGCGCCGGCCGGCAGCAGACAGAGCGCCTCCGACCCGCCCTCCTCCTCCGGCAGCCTCACCTTCTCGAGGCGGGCGGAGCGCAGCTCCCGCAGAGCCGCGCGCGCCTGCTCGCAGTGCGGCCCCGCGTCGTGCTTCTCCACCAAGCTGCCGACGTCGACGAGGCAAGTCCTACAGCCCGCAATGACCGGCCATCGGCGCGCGATCGGCGCGGCTCCGCCCCGCCGAGAGCCATCGGAGACCATTCGCCGCCGTCCTTCACCGCCCACACCGACGGAGGGCGGCGCAGCGAGGAGCACTGGACGATGGCCGTGCCGCCGCTCGCGCCGAGCAGCTCGACGGAGCCCTCGCACTGCGGCGGCCGGAGCGGCACGACGGGCGGCGCCGGCCCTCCTCCGGTGGCTTCACCTCGTCCGGTGGCTTCACCTCCTCCGGTGGCGGCGACGGTGAAGGTCGACTTGGTCGCGCCTAACAGAACAGCGCGCGGCGGTGGCTTTCCCTCGTGCGTCTTGGGGCTGCCGCCGCTGCGGCTGCGTCGCTCCGGCGACGCTGTGGAAGACGAGGGTGGCCTCGTCGAGCCACGCGAGGGAGGCGAGCTCGTCGTGGAAGCCGAAGAGGCCGGCGAAGCTCGAGCCGTCAGTCGCAGCGGGGAAGCCTCGCACGATCGGGACGAGGGTGGCGGAGCCGTGCCCCGCCTCCGGAGGCGGCCACGCCATCGTCCGTAGCTCGAAGCCGGCCGAGTGCGACCGGAACTCGCCCTCCCGCGCGGCGAAGGCGAGGGTGCGCCCGTCGGGTGACAGCCGAGGCATGTGCGCGAAGTAGAGCGAGGGCGTGAGGCAGCGGGCGGGCGCGGCCTTGGCAGCGGGCGCGGCCGCCTCCTCGCCGCCCGCCCCGCCGCCCGCCTCCTCGCCGCCCGCCCCTCCGCCGGCAGCCTCCCACAGGCTGGGCAGGTGGTAGAGGCGAGTCGGCCGGTTGAGGCAGGCGGAGAGGCCGGGTCGCCACGGAGGGAGGGAGTGGCACGCGAAGATGAGCCCTCCGCCCGCCTCGTCGAAGCAAGGGTGAGCAGGGACCGCGACGCCGCCCTCGGACAGGTCGCCGTCCGGGAGCAGGTCCTCGCCCTTGCAGACGCGCAGCCTGTCCGCCCGCCAGTCCCACGCCACCAGCTGCGAGCTGTGCACGAGGAGCGCCTCGCCCGTGCTCTGCCGGTCGCCGAGCGCGAACTTGCCGGCCAGCAGCGCGTCGCCGCCCCGCTCGGCGCCGCCCGCCGGCTCCTTCGCGTCGGCAGCGCCCGCCGCGGGCCAGTAACCAGCTGCAGCGGCGCCGGCGGGCTGCCGCTCGGCCGTCCACGCGACCGCCGAGCCACTCGGGCTGAAGCGAGGCGTCCCGAACACGCCGGCGGGCAGGGTCTTTGCGCCGACGCCCTCGACGACGCGCCGAGCGAGCCGGACGCCGTCCGCGGTCCAGACCTCCACCGCGAGCTTCTTGCCGTCCTCGCACGCCATCTGCCGGAACTCGAGCCCGTGCTCTGGGGAGCGCGTAACCGCGGTGGTGCTGTCGACCGCCAGGGTGGGTGTGCTGCGACTGCCAGGGCGAGCGAGATCGACGACCTGCGACTGCATCGCCCTGCTCTTGGTCCGAAGGTCCGTGGCGGAGAAGACCAGCTCCCAGAGAGATCCGCCGAGCGGCGAGGCGCGCGTGTACCGGCGGCCGGCGGGGCCGGAGAGGAACGACTCGTGCAGCGTGCGGAGCGGCGGCTGCTGGCCGGAGAGCGCCGCCGCGCTGGCGTGGCTGGCGGCGAGCTGCAGGGTGAGAGCCGACGCGGCGGCCGCGAGGACGCGGTGGTTACGGAGCATCACCACAACGACAACGTACTAGAGTGGCCAGCGCAGCCTGGCTAGGCGCCACCGCGTTGCTACGCGTCCCGCCGTGGCAGGCGTCACTGGCGCGGCGAAGGTGAACTCCTGACCTCCCCCGGGTGCGCCAGCACCGATATTTCTTTCTTTCTTTTTTGCTAGCTCGAGGGCCGATGTTCTGCAAATCGTGTTTTGTTTTTGACCGCGCAAGACAAAGGTTTTGGGCTCTGCCCGCAAGGCGCCCGCGTCGCCGACGCGGTACCATTGACTAATCCCAGAATCACACCCACACGACCAAATAGCGAAAATCCGAATACCGTGCAAAACCCCCGGAATCTCAGCCGAAGAAGGGCGGGGCAAGTTTGGCTAACTCCATAACATGGGCGATCCGGCGCTTCCTTCGATTGGACGGACGAAATGATCGCGGAAAAGCGGGAAACCGCATCGCGACATCGGGGGTTCACCATATCGGCAAGAGAGAATCTCTCTCTCTCCCATATGCCGAGCCTGCTCGGCCTGCCATGCGCGCGCGCGCGCCTCGCCCGAGCGCAGCCACCTGCGGACCTGGCCAGCCTGTTCCTGGCTCGTGCCCAGCCTCTCCTTCCGCTGCCGCCAGCCTCGCAGTCCCGCCAGCCATCACGCTGCAGAGCCTGCGTAGACGCCACAGACGCCAATTCTGCAGCCCACAGCCCTGGCAACTGAGGGCGAGGGCCAGCAGTATACGACGACGACGGCATCTCACACCCCGCGCTGGCCAGCGCCATCAGCCCCTCCGCACGGCCCGGCCCAACCTTCCCTTCCCCACCCTCGCCTCCAGTGCTGCTCCAGTGCCTCCAATCAAGTCGCACCTCTCTTCTTCAGCGAATGCAGCGGCAGCACCACGTCAGAGGCCGGGCCGACTGGCGGACCTGCATGCCCAGCCATGCCCCCCACTCCCCACCCGCTTGGATCGATCAGCTGACAGCTCCACCAACTGACCAAGCTCCCACCACCGCGTCGTGTCATGAAGCATGATAGATCGAAGACATAGAAAGCATGAACCATCGAAAGGTCTGATCTCCAAAAAGAACTCTCGGCCCGCCGCCGCGCGCCCGCGCCCCGCCCCTTTTGCGCAGCAACACCTTAAACTTCATGGCCCTCCAAATTCGGGTCGAGCGCAGCGGAGTCCGGAGACCGGAGTGGGCCCCGAGTTTGAAAAAGGCGACGGACGCTTGCGTCCTAGCCTCCAACAACGCCTCCCCGGCGCAGAGGGGCCCCCGGAGGGATGCTCAACCGCCCCACGCCACGCCGCTTGCGGCGGTCCTATTCCCAGCCGTTGAGGAGATTATTTCTTTTCTCGCTCGGTTTAGTCTCAGTTTACCCCTCGATGGCATCAAGGCTCGGGCTGAGGCCGTCGCCGCACCGCGCGATCTTCGCCCGCGCGCCTCCGTCGGCCCTCCGCCCGGCCACGCTGGCCGCTGGTCGGCTCGCCTGCGCGTCGCGACGTCTCGTCTCCACCGCCGCCGCCGCGCCCGCCGCCGCCGCGCCGGACGACGGCTGGAGGACGAGGCAGGGCCTCAGCCGGTACGCGGACCGGCGCGACATCGAGTTTGTCCTGCACGAGGTGGAGCGCGTGGAGGCGGAGGCGGAGGAGGTGCGAGGCGTGCTCGACTCGGTGGAGGACTTTGTCGAGGAGTGGGGACCCGTCGATCCCGCTCTCGACCAGAGCCCGCCCAAGCTCATCACGGCGGAGGACGGCTCGACGGCGGTGGAGGTGCACCCGGAGACCAAGCGGCTGCTCGCCGACTACCACGCCCGCGGCTTTGCCGAGATGGAGGAGCTCGGCCTGCCCTTCAGCGTCCAGTGCGCAGCGCAGTTTCTCTTTGGCGGCGCCTTCCCTTCAAACCCGCTCGGCTTCACCGTCCTCACGCGCTGCGCGGCGGACCTGCTCGAGGCGCGCGCGGCGAGAGGTGCGAGTGGCGACGGGCGGTGCCGCCCTCTCACGCCGCGACGGCCCATTCCCCTCAGGCGCACGGCTCCGAATCGCTCAAGGGCGGGGCGCCTGCCAGGCCCGCGCTGCTTCCCGGAGCCTTCAAGGAAGCTTCCAGGAGAAGTGTCTGTAGGCGAGTACCTGTCCGACATGCGCGCCGGGAAGGTGGTCGGCACGATGGCGCTGTCCGAGCCCCACGCCGGGTCGTCGCTGGGCAACATCCGCACGACCGCCGTCCGGGCGGGAGACGGCCCGCTCGGCCAAGAGTACCGCCTCAAGGGAGAAGAGGGGTGGGGCGGGGCGCGGCGGGGCGCGCTGTCTACTCACTCCTCCGCTCGTGTGTAGGCGACAAGATGTGGACGAGTGCCGCCTTCCACGACGTTACCCCCAACACAGCCCACATGCTGCTCGCTCGCATCGCCGGGCCGGACACGCCTCCTGGGGCGAGAGGCAGCGCCTTCCTAGACACCTCCTAGACACCTCCTAGACACTTCCTAGACACCTCCACGCCTCCTGGGGCGAGAGGCAGCGCCTTCCTAGACACCTCCTAGACACCTCCTAGACACTTCCTAGACACCTCCACGTCTCCTGGGGCGAGAGGCAGCGCCTTCCTAGACACCTCCTAGACACTTCCTAGACACTTCCTAGACACCTCCACGCCTCCTGGGGCGAGAGGCAGCGCTTCGGCCCCCTCGCCCGGCCCCTCTCCCCGCCCACTTCCAACTCCTTCCTCCCTTCTCGACCAGGCATCTCCCTCTTCCTCGTCCCGCACCTCCTCCCAGACGGCAGCCCGAACGACGTCGAGGCACTTCCCAGACACTTCCTAGACACTTCCTAGACAGTTCCTAGACACTTCCTAGACAGTTCCTAGACACTCCCTAGGTGGTCGGCCTCAACAAGAAGATGGGCCACCGCGCCCTGCCGAACTGCGCCTGGTCGCTCGGCGGCGGCGCCGGCGGCGCGACTGGCTACCTTGTGGGCGAGCCGCACCAGGGGCTGAGCGCGATGTTTCAGATGATGAATGCGATGCGGATCGAGGTTGGGCTCTGGGCGGCAGCGCTCGGCAAGCGCGGGCTCAACGAGTCGCTGCTCTACGCCGAGGGGCGCGAGCAGGGCGGCAAGCGGATCATCGAGCACGCCCGCCTAGAGCTTCCTAGACACCTCCTAGACACCTCCTAGACACCTCCTAGAATCATCGAGCACGCCCGCCCCGCGCTTCCGCCCGGCGAGGCACGGGCAGCCTCTCGCTGGCAGCACCGCCCCTTGGGCGTAGGCACGAGATCTCCCCATATCTCCCCTTGGGCGTAGGCACGAGATCTCCCCATATCTCCCCTTGGGCGTAGGCACGAGATCTCCCCATATCTCCCCTTGGGCGTAGGCACGAGATCTCCCCATATCTCCCCTTGGGCGTAGGCACGACGACGTCAAGCGGATGCTGCTGCAGCAAAAGGAGCGAGATGTGGCCGAGATACAGTCGAGACAGTCGAGATGTAGTCGAGATGCTGCTGCAGCATCATGCGCCGCGCCGCCGACGCGGCCACGACGCGTCCCAGACACGCCCGAGACGTGGCCCGCAGGCGTACGCAGAGGGTTAGGGTTAGGGTGAGGGTTAGAGACGTGGCCCGCAGGCGTACGCAGAGGGTTAGGGTTAGGGTGAGGGTTAGAGACGTGGCCCGCAGGCGTACGCAGAGGGCGCATTCGCGCTGACCATCCACGCCGCGACGCTGCACGACCGGAACGCGGCGGGCGACGCCGAGGCCGACGCACAGCCGAGACACGCCGCCGAGATGCCGCCGAGACGTGCCTCCGCCGCCCCCACCGCCATTGGCGCCATCCCAGCCCCACCGCCCTCGCCACCGCCCCCTCCGGCCTCAGGCGGGCGCCATGCTCGACTCGATCATCGAGGTTGTCAAGTCGTGGCCGTCGGAATGGCGCCACCACCCTCCCCTCCCCTCCCTCCCCTCCCTCCTCCACTCGCCACCCTCACCTCCCCACCCTCCCCTCCCCTCCCCTCCCCTCCCTCCCCTCCCCTCCCCTCCTCCACTCGCCGCCGCGGGGGCTCTTTCGCGAGCGTCGGCCGCCCTTCCGCCCTGCGCCCCTCCTCCTTCCCCGCACGCCCCCGTCGTGCGCCGGCGCAGGTGCCTCGAGGCGAACAAGTGGGCCATCCAAGTCCTCGGCGGGTCCGGGTGCGACACCCGCCCGGCGGCGCGGAGCCTTCCCCGAGCCTTCCCCGACCCTTCCCCGACCCTTCCCCGACCCTTCCCCGACCCTTCCCCGACCCTTCCCCGACCCTTCCCCGAGCCTTCCCCGAGCCTTCCCCGACCCTTCCCCGACCCTTCCCCGAGCCTTCCCCGAGCCTTCCCCGAGCCTTCCCGGAGCCCTTCCTGCAGCCTCCTCTCCCAGCTGCACTCCTCTCTCCAAGGTACGTGCACGACTACCCGGTGGAGCAGCTCTACCGCGACAATCGGCTCAACATGATCCATGAAGGCTCAACATGATCCCCGCCGCCACGCCCGCAGACGGCGCGCCCCTCCTCCCAAGCGAGCGGCTCGCTCTCGAATGGTCCCTCGCCGCCCCAGGCACCGCCGGCGTGCACGCCAACACCCTCCTCGGCCGCAAGCTGCGCGACGGCCGCGCGGCGCCCCTCTTCGCCCAGATGCGCGCCTCCGCCGCCGCCGCCGACGAGGAGGCGGCCGCCCTGCCGCCGGACAGCCGCGCGGAGAGCGCGCTGCTCCGCGAGCTCGCTGGCTCGCTGCGGGAGGCGGTGGCGAGGGCGGAGAGCGTGACCGAGGTGCTGCTCCGCTCTCGGCCCCCCCGGGAGGCGTCGCGGCGCTGAGGGGTGTGGCTTGTGTGGCCACAGGTGCTGACGAGCGACGAGGCGCGGCCGGTGGCCCTCGTGAATGCGCACGAGTGTGTGGCCGGCTGGAGGAGGTCGCTCTCTGCGCGGCGACGCAGCGGCAGGGCTGGCCCCGTCCTGCTGTAGGTGCGCCCCGGCCTGGTGGGGCGCGCCGCTACTCACTGAGCTGCGCAGCTGATCACGAGCCGATGCCGAGTCAGGTACCTCAACCTCGTGGGCCACACCGTGGTGGGGTGGATGTGGCTCCGGCTCGCCACCGCCGCAGCGCGGCCCGCCGCCGCCGCCGATGGCGCCGACGGGTTCTACTGCGGCAAGCTCCACACCGCCGCCTACTACTTCCGGCACGAGCTCCCAAAGACGGAGCCGGTGGCGGCGACGCTCCTCTCGCTCGACACCACCGTGCGGGAGATGCGGGCCGACTGGTTTTAGAGGCGCAAAGGGCGCGGGGCTGGCTGCTGCCGACGGCGGGCGCTCGTTCCCGACCTCCATTGGTCGTCACCCGCGCTTCGAGATGCGCGTCCGACCCCGCCCCAAAGCCTCTAGCCCCAACAGCCAACCCGCCCCGTCCCGTCCTCCCGTGTACAGTTTGTGCGTGCATAACGAGATCGGCCGCCTTGTCGAGGGTTTGTGATTGTGTTTTATTGGAGACGGGGGCGTCTTGTTGATGTTGTGGGGACGCGCCGCTGAGGTGTGAGGATCGCTTGATTTTTTTCATTTTTTTCATTGTCAGTGCCAATGCGCGCAGTCCCAAGGCGTGTGCGGCCGACGGCTGGTGGGTCCTCCACTGGTGCGCGTCTTTTTTACGAGTGTTGTGACCGGACCGCTGGGTTGAGGAGTCAGGGGTAGGGTAGGGGGTACAGGGTGGAGACCCCATACACCCACTACCCCCCTGCCCCTCCATTCGGTGCCCATGGCTTGCCCCACCCCACACGCAACGAGCAACTGCATCCTGCGCTCTCTCCAGCTGCTTCTCCCGCGCCCAACCTCACAAATCGATCCTGCCGGAATGTCGGACGAGGAGCTGACCGACTCGTTGAGCCGCCATTGCACTGTCTCAGCCGGCGCAGCGGTTGCGCCATCGCTCGCCAGCCTTTCTCCTGACCTCCTCGTGCTCATCTCCGGGCTTCTTCCTGGGGCCGCGGCCCTCTCTCTCGCTGCATGCTCGTCCACATTTCGCGATGCCGCCCTCTCCGAGGCGAGCTGGCGCGAGCGGCTTGAGCGAGAGATGGGCTTCTCACCCGAGGGCGTCGCGCTCTGGCCGGCTCGGGCGGGCCGCAACCCGCTCGTCGACGCCTTCCTCTACCCGCACCTGAAGCACGAGGCGCTCGAGGGTGAGCTTCTCGGTGCGCCGCGGCCAGTGCGGGCGCCGGGCTGGAGCGGATGCGTCGACCTGCGCCTCGTGATGGAGCTGTCCAACCCGTTTGCCGCGCCGACTTGGACCTTCTTTGCGGCTCCCGGGGCGGCGGCGCCGTGGGCGGCCGGCGGCGGCGAGATGCCTCTCAGCGCCGAGGCGCAGGTGCTCTGCTCGAGCTTTGAGGACGGGCGCGGGCGGAGCCTGCGCGTGCTCAGCTTCGCCGCAGAGGCGCCGCCCGGGGCCCGCTGGCTGCCTCCGACCGCGCAGCCCGCCGGCCTGCTGTCTCACGGCTGGGTCTGGCTCGCGGCGCTGGAGGGAGACGCGCACGAGGAGGGCTACACCTCGGCGCGCGGCGCGCCCGCGGTGACGGCGGTGCCGCTGCACGCCGCGCCGTCCGGCCGGTCGGGCCAGCTGACGGTGCTGTCCGAGGTGAGGCTGCGCGTGGACGGCGTGGTGTGGGCAGCCGCGAGCAGCGCCGGGGAGCTCGCCCTCGAGGTGCTGCAGGCGACGGACGTGGCGGCGGTACGAGAGGCGGCGGGCGCAGAGCCGTGCCATATCCTGCAGCCGCTCGACGACGCTATCGCCGCTTCGGAGCGAGAGGGCGTCGCGATGCCCTCCATGCACGCGCAGGCGCACGGCGCGGAGGAGCAGGCAGAGGCGAAGGACTTGCCCGGCGTGTACGAGCGCTGTCCCCACTCGCTCCCCTGCGTCCTCTTCCCCGCGAACCCACCTGCGCGGCTGAGCTTTACCACGCTCCGCCGAGCGACTTGCGTCGTTGCTTTGTAACACGCGCCGACGCGCGTCACAGCTCACAGAGTCCTCACACTCCATCGTTTCGAGCTCCGTTCCGCGCCGGACCCCGTTGCCTTTTCGCTTTTGTGCTTTTTGTGATCTCACCGCAATCACATACAAGCGCGCAATTTGTGTTTCATGCGCAATGTCCGTTTGGCTTTGGGGTTTGGGCGTCTTGGCCGCGGCACACTTCACGGCCAAGAGTGACGTAAAGAGCCGGACCGCCGGAGCGGACGTGCCGGCGGCCCGCGGTCATTGCGGCCGTGAGCCTAGCGGCGGGTGCGGATAAGGCGGCGCGTAGTGCGGCGAGCCATACGGCGGTGGGAGGGGGTGGGGCGGGTACCGAGGGTACCCGTGCATGGCGGGGTACCCGTAAGCCCCTGGTGGCGGGTACGCCCCTGCGAGACCGGGTGGGCCGCACGTCGCGTAGGGATACGGAGGCGGCATGGGCGGCCCTGGAGGCGCCGCTCGCATTGCTCCCGCCCACGGGGGCCTCCACGGAGGCGGCGGCGCTGCCCCGACCGGCTGCAGAGGAGGCGGCCGCGGCGGTGGAGCGCCCGGCGGCGGCCGCGGCACGCCCAGTGGCGCGGCTACAGGCGCCTGCCGCTCCAGCTCCTGCTGCCGCCCGAGCTCCGCCCAAGGCGGCGGCGGCTCGGCGGGCGGCGGCTCGGTCCCTGCTCCCAGCTCGCCCAGCTCCGCCATCAGCAGCCTAGTCGGGGGCAGACACGCTCTGCGCCGTGGCCGGGAGCAGAGCCCCTCGGCCCTCCCCTCCCTCGCCTGTACTCGTCGTCCTGAGAGCCGCCGGCGCAGGAAGCGCCGCCGCCGCCCGAGCCGGCGGAGCTTCCCGCCGCGTGGCGGGGCGGAGGCAGGGGCGGAGGCACGCCGCGCGAGGCCGACCCTATACGGCGGCAAAGAGACGCCTCGCCCTCCGCCCGGCCGTGCCACGCGCCCCCCCTCCACCTCTCTCCTCCGAGCGGGCCCAGCCCGACAGCGGGAGGAGCTGCGCGTGCCCCGCCCGTCAGCAGCCTGCGAGGGGCGCATCGAGGGTCGCCACGGGGCCGGACCAAACAAGCCGCTCTGCCACCCGCCGCCACCCCCCCCCCCCGCCGTGCGCGCGCGCCTCTGCTTGTCGAGGAAGCGTCTAGGAAGCGTCTAGGAAGCGTCTAGGAAGCGTCTAGGAAGCGTCTAGGAAGCGTCTAGGAAGCGTCGGGGAAGCGCCTCGCCTCTGCAGGTCGAGTGCGTCCGAGTCGTCCCGGAGCGTGCCGTTGATGCGCTGCCCCTCCTTGCGCTGCTGCGCGCGCAGCGCCTCCCCCTTCGCCGACTTGAAGTCGAGGAGGATGTCGAGCAGCGCCTTCGTCTTTGCCACCTGGTGCGCCGCCACGGGGCCTCAGCCGCTACCCCGCGTGAATACGGGTCTTGTGACGGTTCGTCTCATTCTCATCAGTGTCCGCCACCTACAGCACCGACGACCAGCCCTCGGCACCACCTCGCCGCGGAGGCGCGAAGCGAGCCGCGGCCAGCGCGACCGCCGCGCCAGTCGGCCCGCGGATCACGACGTGGCACGGCTCTTCCTCCTGCGGGCAGAGGAGGCTCGCTCAGCGTCGCACCGAGGAGAGGATGCCTCGGCGCGGCTGCTGCTCCTCGTCGTCCCCGCCGAAGAGCATCTTCGTGCGGCTCGAGCCCTTGCCCCGCACGGCGATGCGGCAGCCGGCCTCGGCCTCGAGCAGCTTCTGCGTGATGCCGCGTGTGCCTGCCGCGCGGCACGCGAGGCGGAGTCAGGCAGGCGCGAGGCGACAGGGCAGGCAGGCGAGGCGACAGGGCAGGCGTCGCCCTCGCACTCGCACCGCCTCGCGTCTCTGGCCGTGGCATGCGCGCGCGCGCTCCTCTCTGCGCGCGTGCGGGCGGCGCGCGCGTGCTGCTCTCGCGGGGCGTGTGTCGCGCCGATGACGAGCCCCACCACCGCCTGCAGCCCGTTTGGAAGCATGTCGTCCCGGAGCAGCACCTTGACCTCGCTTGGCTGACTGGCCGTCTCACCGCTCCCGCCGAGCCGGATCGAGACCATCTGCTTGACAAACTCCGCGCGAGCGAGGAGCAGCGCCGGCTTCTCCTCCTCGCTCGCCGTCTCGAGCATCGCGGTGATCGCGTCGACTCGCTCCTGCCTCGGGTCGACCGGAGCGGGAGGCTCGGCGGAGCGTTCCCACCGGCTGCGTCGCGGCTCCGGCTTGGGCTCCTCCCAGCGCGAACGCTTGGCGGCCGCGGGAGCAGGAGCCGCATCTGCCCACTGCCGTCGCCGCCGGGCCGGCTTTGCTCCTGCCGCCGCTGCGCCGCCGAGCGGCTGCAGTTCCGTTGATTCTGCCTGCTCCGTCGGTACCGGCGCTGACGTCGCTGATGCCGGCTCGGACGATGCTGGTGCTGGTGCTGGTGCCGGCTCGGACGACGCCGGCTCGGCGGGCTGAGACTCCATACTACGCGGTGTGAAAGCTACGCGGTGTGAAAGTGTGGACGCGCGTGAACAGCAGCTCCTGACCACGGCGCCGCAGGCCCTGTTGATAGGTCAGCTGATCGCCCTGGATAGGCAATGCATACGCCTAGTTGGGCCTCGGATCGCCCGACCGCGTCCCGGTGCTCTGTGGTCGGATTTGTGACGCCGCCGCACCTCGCCGCGGCCGGGGGCCCTCCGGAGGCCGAGGATGGCCGTGACGGACCGGGACGAGCTCTGGGAGGTTCAATGTCAGTTATATATTGTAGAGACCAACCATGTGCACAATATCTCTCAGTCTAGCTAAGCCTGTGGGAAGGCGATGCCGGGGCCGTATACAGCAGCTTGATGGTGTTTCGCCGGCGTGCGTCCCGGAGAGGTCCAGGACGGGGGGCCAGGGGAGGAAACGGAGGACAAGGCCGAAACCGCTCTGATTCGACTTTTCTCTTTTGACTTCAAACAAAGACACGCGCCGCAGCGCGGCGCGTGCGACTGTGAGGAGAGCGGATCCGTCAGTTAGTTGTGTTCACGCCGGGATCGTGTCCTCCACAACCTGTGCAGACTTTAGGCTTGGATCGTAGGAGTAAGAAAGACCCCGGCCCTGGGTTCCGGCTCCTAGCCGGATAGGGGGTCTGTCGCCACTGGCTGGCCCCTCCCAGATAGGTAGCAAGGTAGGTAGGTTGGTCTTGTTTCGCCCAAAAGGGCCCTGCCTACAATAGGTAGGTACATGTAGTGATGGGATCTTCACCAAACGAAACAAGTTCAACCTGCTTCTCCATGAGACATTCGGCGGCGGCTTCTCGCCGCCTGCAGTTGCAAAGATCAACCGCCTTGCGCGCAAAGGCTCAACGCTCGGGCGTTGACCGCACCGCGTACCCTCCCCACTCCCGCCTCTCATTTGTGTCACACCACGCGGAACGCATCTCCATCGCTTCGGTGAAGGGGGTGAACCGCGCCATCCTCGATCGCCGTGCAAAGCTCGCTTCCGAGCCCTCACGCCGCGCGTAGGGCCCTTAGGGGCCTAGAGAACACAACCCCCTCTCCCTTTTCTCCCAGTAAGCTAAAAGTACATGTAGGGCGTTTTGGCGCGAGTCAGGTCGGTTAGTGAACAGACCCCCTATCCGGCTAGGAGCCGAAACCCTGTGGTGAGGTAGTCGTTGGGGAGGGCAGGGTTTATTCGTCGGCGACCCTCACGCGCTTCTTCGCTCCTCGCCGTGGTATCGCGCCATGTTATCGCCACTCCTCGTGTCCGTCGGCTGTGTGGACACGCCCGCGGCTGCCAATGTGCGTGCATGGCTCAGCGCTGGCACGACGATGCTTCCGCCCGAAGCGCTCGATGACAAAGTAATCTTCTCTTCTGAGATGTCCACGATCCGTGGGGCAAGCGCGTACTCTGCCGCGGCCACGCGGTGGGATGCTGACGCTGCGGCCTTGCTGAAGCCGTACCGGACCTCGGTCTCGCGGCTTGTGCCGCTGGACGGGCAGAGGGTGGCGGTGCGCTGGCGCGCCGCTTGGGATCCGGCGTCGCTCGCGTGGGCACCGCCGCTGGCGAGACTCCTCGGGTGGGAGATCGAGCGCTTCGACCTCGACCCAGAGGTGGTTTCGAACTTTCGCTGGATGGCAATCTTCGAGCTATTCGCTGCCGCCCTTCGGACTCGAGTGCTGCAGCTCCCGGCGGCCTCGGTGGAGGGGCGGGCGGTGTACTGCCTCGAGGAGGGCCGGTGCGTCGCACACGAGGAGTCGCTCGATTTGGTCCGAACGGTGTGCAACCTCCCATCCATCTGCCTCTTCCCAATGTGCCTCTTCCCACCTGCCGGAGTGGGTGCGATTCTCTCGACGTACTCATCCCGGCGCGACGTGGCCGCAGGCCGATAGCGGCCGCCTCCGTAACCGCCGAGCAGCGGAGAACATCGCCGAGTTCCTCGATGTCGCGCGCCGTCCGGACGGGTGCGCGTGGCACCCAGCGGGAATGTCGCAGGGTTTCTTTGCACACCTCGGCCATTCGGGTGCGTCGAGCGGCAACCGCCTTGCGCTGTGCCGCAGGTCGGAGCCGGAAGAGTGGGCGGCGGCGGTGCGGGCGCGCGTCCTGTCGGGCGTGCCAGGGGCAGGTGCATTGCATCTCGAGCCGAGCGAGGTTAGATGCGCGCGCATAAATGCTCCCATTGCTTTGGTGATCGTTCCGGTCTTTTCTTCTGCGCAGGACCCCAGCGAGGGCGTCTTTGCCTTGGGCTGCTTTGCGCTCGTGGCGGCCTGCGCCGTGCGGCTAAGCGCGGGCGTGATCGGAGGCGAGGCGACGACGGAGGCGTTCGGCGAGGGCGGCGGCGACCCACGCGTGGCTGTGTGCGAGGAGATCGGGGCCAGGCGGTCGGTCGATTTCAGTCAGTGCGTGAGTGATCTCTTCTGAAAAAGCAGGTGTACAGGTTATGTTTTGATTAGCATTAGGAGCATGCGGCGAAACAGCTGATAACAGGGCGACAATCGCGGTCACGCAAAGCAGTCGAAGTCTGGCTTGAGCAGCTTCACCATTACTTCATTGTCGACCGGGCTCAGCAGTGGCATCTCTTTTTCGTAACCTACGGCCTTCTTGCGCTTCAGCGAGTTCAGCGCCGCCGTTAGAACATCGCAGTGCAGCTCGTCGGCGCGTTGAAAGAGCACCCCGAACTTGCACTCACCGCCGTGCTGTTGGAGCGTATCCATAATGACGTACTTCTTGGCCATGTTCATCATGAACTGCGGGTCATCAGCCTTCGAGGCGTCCCACGCATCGAGCTTGTCCATGGCAGGCAGCGTGTTTTTGGTCGCGGCGGCGCGGCGGCGGGTCGCCGTTGGGTGTGGGCGCTTTTTTCTTACACCCGTGCCTCTGGACCTCCGTTCACGTGCACGGGCTTCTTGAGCCACCCACCCACCCACTCACCATCCGGGGCCTACGAAGCGTTTACCCACCCACCCACTTTTTCAAGAACGGCGGTCCAGAGGCACGTGGTTTGAGAAAAAACGCAACGCGGCGGCGCGATCTGGCTGACCACTTTTTTCTTTTGCGACGCCTCCCGGAGGGCCCTTCCGACCCCTCTCGAGCCCTCCCGAAGATCCTCTTGGCCTACCACCCGAGCTCGGGGGGCGGCGAGCCCTCCTGATCTCTCCTGCCTGGACCCCACCACACCCTCCCGCCTCGCCCAGCCCTCCTGCTCCCTCTCCCTCTCGGAATCCCGGTGGACCGCTCCACCCTCCCAGCGCGCTAGCCCTATGGGACCCTGTGGAGCCCTCCCGACGCCGATCCGACGGGGAGTCGGGGACCCCTCCAGCCCTGTGTGTGTGAGCTGGTGAGCCCTCCGGTCGGAGGGGTGGAAGTGGGAGGGCTCGAGAACGGACCTCTCTCGCTCTGGGAGGGTGGAGGGGTGGTGGGTGGTGGAGGGGTGGAGGGGTGGTTGAGTTCTCTAGCTCTGTCGAGACAGCCCTACCCCTCCCGCCGTTTTAGGGCCTCTCCCCACCCGCTATGCGCTATGGATAAAGCCGTAATGCGAGCCTGAGGGAGGGTGTAGAGGATGTAGAGTGTAGAGCGCTGTAGAGCTGTAGAGATGTAGAGCGCTGGAGAGCGCTGTAGAGCTGTAGAGCTCTACATCCGCCGCGTGACGAACTGCCTGCGTTGTGAGCGATGTAGTTGTAGAGAACAAAACAAAATCTCTCTCTTGTAGAGGCGCTCTACAACGTGAAATCTCTCTGGCCCCGGCTGCGTCCCCGCGTGGCCTGCCCGATGGCGTGGTGCCCGCCCTCCACCCACCTCCCCGCGCGGGGCCGCTCCGGGGCGACCCGGGCGCCCTCCGACCAAACTGCCACACTACTATCATATAACAACAAACTCTACCATAGCGGCGAGGTGTTATGGCTGTTTATGGCTGGCTGCTCATAACACCCCATAACACCTCATAACACCTCATAACACCTCCATCGCTGTTATGGCTGTTATGCCCACCCCTACCATAACACCTCATAAAACACCTCATAACACCTCATAACACTCATAACACATCCCACTGGTTGTTACGACAGCCAGCATAACAACCTCATAACAGCTGTTATGTGTCCCACGGATTTTTCTTTTGGAGCCCCCCGCGCGCATCCCGGCGTGACGGTAAAATTCTTCTCTTTTGGAGCGCCCGCCCCGCGCCGCGTAGCTACTACCAGCCAACCATGGCCTACCGGGACCATGGCCTACCGGGATCCATCGATCGCGGGACGAGGAAGAGTTTTACCCCTCTCCCTTTTCTCCCAGTAAGCTAAAAGTACGTACAACAAACTCCCTCGCACGGGGGACTGGCGCGCACGGAGCTTTAACTACTAAAAAGCGGGAGCAGCCAGCTTCCTCCACTTGTTAGAAACCTCGAGACATGTACATGTGCATGTAGTGAAAAAGGAAAGAAAAAGCTGAGGCCTGGTGTCGAGGTGTCGAGGCCCAGTGTCGAGGGTGTCGATCGAGGCCAGGGCTCAGAGAAAAAGGACGGGAGTTAAATTGCGGGAAAGACTTAAGGTACATGAACATGTTTAAAACGGAGGGAAGCGTGCAAAGCTGCAGAGAGTACGAGTTAGAAACGGGAAGCAATTGCGTGAAGGGGGGGGGGGGGGGAGGGGGGTCTTGATTGAGAAATCTCAAGCCATCGCTCAGCCTCAGTCAGGAGGCAGGTTGATGTTATTGAATTTAACTTGAGGGCAAAAGAGAAGATATTTGGCGATCGATGCCGAACCTCGCGCCCGGCAGCGCGCGAAGCGAAAATAGCAGCGGCGAGCAGTTCGGTGTGGCCTCTCGGGCCATAACACCACATAACATGTTATGCCACCCATAACAATAACACCCATAACATGTTATGCCCCGAGAGCCATAACACCATAACAATAATGTGTCAGGGGTGCATCTGCCCGCCGGGCGGCCGGGCGGGTTTTCCGGGGAGTAAATGTAAATGTAACAGAAGCAAGAGAGCCACGAGCCACACACCTCGGTCACCGTCAGACTGTGTAATCCAACGAAAGAGAGTAAAAGCAAAACTGAGTAGTACTACTGTACAGAGTAGAGAGTACGCCATGTGGTTTCGTATATTTTTTATTCGTTTTCGAACAAGGGCCCCTTCCCAAAGTAATACTTGCGTCTTGCCAAGTTGGCAACAACGAATAATTAAGTAGAAGTAAAAAGAGACGGAAACGAGTTGGGATCCAGGACACAGACGGCATTACACGGGACGGAAACCGCCCCCTCCCACCCACCCACCCCGCTCATAGGGGCTCGCGGTCGGGGCCGGGCGGCGGAGCTCACACGAGTCGACACGCGGGTGACCGCGGCTCTCATGGTGCTGCAGAGGCTCCGGCGCATATATGCATCAAGCGCGAACCCCCTCAAAGCTCACCGCTCTGCGTGGGGCGCCACCGTACGACGCGGCCATGCGGATCGACCGGACCGACCGGGTTGACCGGCCTTCACTTGAGGAGCTTGGCAAGCGCCGCGTCGAGGCTCCAGCCGGTGGCCTGCAGCGCGGACCGCGCCCGCGAGGCCGCGAAGCCGCGCTCGACCAGCTCGCCGATGAGGGCGTCCCGCTTCCGCTCGACCCGCAGCGTCGCCCGCAGCTCCGCGACGGTGCCGGGCGACTCGCCCTCGCGCAGCAGGCCGCGAGAGAGGCACTCGTCGACCAGCTCGCTCTTCTTCATCCGGGAGAGGGCGCGCAGCGCCGCGGCGCCGCTCGGCTCCGCCCCTCCCTCCGCCGGCGCCGCCTCGCTCACCCCGGACGCGACGAGCGCCTCCTGCAGCTCCGCCAGCGCCGACCGCGCAGCCTCCGCCCCGTCCGCCCGCGGGCCGCCCGACGACGGCTCCGAGGAGAGGGACGGCTCCGAGGAGAGCCGCGTCGCCTCCGACACCGCGCCGCCGGGGTCAGCCCCCGGCCCCGCTGCCGGCTGCCCCGCTGCCGGCTGCCCCGCTGCGCCCGCCGGCCCGCCCCCCTCCGCGCGCTGCAGCGACCCGAGCAGCTCGCGCATCTGGGCAGCAGCCGCCTCGGAGGCGGCCAGCTGCTCCTAGAATCACAAGCAGAGATGCTGGAGAGAGAAGAGAGCCGGGGCTCAAGAGGCGGAGGGAGACAGCTGCTCCTCGAGCGCCGCCGAGCGAGCGTCCGCGCGCCGCTCCGCCTCGCCCAGCTGCTGCTCCAGCGCCTCCACCGCCGCCGCCTCCGCCCTGACGCGCGCCTCCGCCGCCGCCGCCTCTGCCTCCATCCGCCGCTGCCTCCTGCCGAGCTCCTCCCGCTCCTCCTCCCGGCGCTGCGCCGCAGCCTCGGCGCTGATCAGCTTCTCCTCGAGCTCGACCGATCGGCGCCGCTCCGCCTCGAGCGCCGCTGCCGCCGCCCCTCCCCCCTCCCCCTCCCCCTCCCCCTCCCCTCGCTCTGCCCCCTGCTCCGCCCCCTGCTCCGCAGTGCGCGCCGCAGCCTCGAGCGCAGCCTGCGCGTGCATCAGCTCCTCCGCAGCCCGCTCCGCCGCCCTCTGCTCCCGCGTCACCTCCGCCTCCGAGTCGGCGAGGCGGCGGCTCGCCGCAGACAGCTCCGCCTCGAGCTCCGTCGACCGCGCAGCGAGCCTGCGCGCGCGCGCCTCGGCCTCGGCCTGCCCCTGCTGCCCCTCCTGCTGCTTGCGCCTCATCTCGACCACCGCCTCGTCCGCCGCCTCGAGCTCGCTCTCCAGGTCGTTGACGTACCGGGCGAGCGCGCGCGCCGAGACGGCAAGAGCCTGCAGCTTCGCCTTTGTGAAGCCGACGACCATCTCCGCCAGCTCCCGCTCCGACCGGAACCAGACCTCGCCGCCCTCGCTGATGCGCATCGCGCCGCCCTCGACGGCGCTCGACTCGGACAGGAAGGCGACAAACTCGTCCGCCATCTCGCCGTCGCTCTGGGTCAGCGCGCCGCCGCCGGGCGGCGCCGGCCGCGCGAGGCCGCCCTCGACCGCAGGCACATCGACCGCGGCCGCGCCGAGGGAGGCGATGCCTTCGGAGCGAGCCTGGACGTCGACCGCGTTCGGCCGGATCTCCGGGATCAGCTGACCCGCCCGCTTCTTCACCTGCCAGCCCGAGTTGATGTACGATTCGGTGGTCTCCTTCACGCCCTTTGCCGCAGTCTCCACGCCGCGCAAAAAGGAGCCGGCGATGGCAGTCACGGGGTCGACCTGATCGCTGCCGCCCATAGCCGGCGCCACGCACCGCACGCGTCTGGCTGGAGGCGGCGCCAGCGCCCGCCCAGGCGAGAGCCCGGGGAGGAGGGCAACGATTGCTAGCATGTTTCGCGCGTGAAAAAACATGCAGTCTGAATGAATGAGCTTGTGTGTCTGTGCGTGTCGCTCACGCGTGTCGTCATCATCAGTCCCGCGTCCACCCATACCGCGCTGGTGTCCAGTCCAGTCCGAGCCTGACTGTTCTTCACCTTCCTACCAGTAGTGTGGGAGGGTGTGTTCGGTCGGGGCAAACTCTGTGGTTCGCGTGAGCCCTGACGGTGACGCCTCCTCTTTGGGTCCTCTTACTTACTTACTTACTTACGTACTACTTCTCCTGCTCAGATCGCTCATCGCGGCAAAACGTACGTAGGCCAGTCAGCGCACATGGAGTACTAATAGCTGACACTCCGCCCTCCCGTCAGCCTTCTCCGCAGCCGGGGTACGCCACTCAGACTTCAACCACTCAGAGCTTCTGAAAGCGCGGCTTGTACTGCAGAACTTGGGCGACGGGCGTGGAGCCGGGATAGGCCGCGGCGCCCGGGTGCGCGGCGCCGGGGTACGCGGCGGTCGCACTCGGCCACCCGTGCTGCGCGGTCTGCATCTCCAGCTCGGGCCCTCGCCTCGGCTGTGCGCCGCTCTCGCAGAGGGAGCCTCGCCGGCACGCGAGCAGCAGCAGCCCGCAGCAGCCCGCGGCGAGGAGGGCGTACCCGAACGAGGAGAGCGCGCCGCCGCTCGCGCCGTACTCGTCGCCGTCGCTGGTGCAGAGGGTGAGGAAGAGGGGCGGCGGCGCGGCTTGCGTCGTGGCGGTGACGTCGACCCAGGCGGTGGCGTTGTGCACGACCAGGTAGAGCGGGAAGCCGCCTGGTGGGTGGGGCCAGGGTTGGGCGTTAGGTGAGGGCTGGGGGTGTGCAAGGCGAGGGTGGAGCGGCAAGCCGCCGTCGTCGCTCGGCGCGAGAAGAGAGCCGCCTGGGGTTAGGGTCAGGGTTAGGGTCAGGGTTAGGGTCAGGGTTAGGGTTAGGGTCAGGGTTAGGGTCAGGGTCTGGGTGAGGGTCAGGGTGAGGGTGTGGGTTAGGGTTAGGGTTAGGGTTGGGCGGGAGAAGAAAGCCGCCTGCGGAGCGAGGGGCGGCGAGGGGCGAGGGAGGCGAGTGGCGAGGGAGGCGAGTGGCGAGGGGTGAGTGGTGGCGCCCCTCCGGCCCTGCTGCTAGTCTCGACTGCAAGCCTCGACCACCTCTCGGGCAGCCCTCTGTGAGATCTCGGGCGGCGCCTCCGCCCTTCCGCTCGTCGTCCTCCGGCGCGAGCTCGTACCGGTCCTGCAGCCAACCAGCCCGCTGGTGAAGCAAGGGACCGACCCCCTCGCACCCGCACGCTCCCGAGGTGCGGCTTGCATCTCGGCGGCATCTCGGCGGCATCTCGGCGGCATCTCCGCGGCGGTCCTGGTCCGAAGCCAGCGTCGCCGTCTCGTGCTCGCGCGCCTCGCAGCCCTCGTCCGACCCGCCGCCCGCCGCGCCGCCGCACGAGCAGTGGCATGCGTACTGGCGCCGACGCACGACGTGGAGCGCGCTGCCGTAGTAGAGTGCCGCCGGCCCCCAGAGGTAAGGGTAGCCGAGCCCGTAGTAGCCGTACCCGAGGAAGGGCGAGTAGTACAGGCCGAGCGGGCTGTGGGAGTAGAGGCCCCCGTAGCCGTAGTAGCCGCCGTAGCCGTACCCTCGCCCGGAGTAGGCGGGAGTGGCCTGGCCCCACCGGCCGGCGCCGGCGGACGAGCTCCTTCCCCCGTAGCCGGCTCCGGCGGAGTAGTAGCTGCGAGTCGAGGGGGAAGAGTAGGAGGTGGTGCCGGAGCCGGCGGCGGAGCGGCGGCGGGCGGTGTTGAAGGAGGTGGACGCGGAGGAGGCCGAGAAGCGGGAGGAGGACGCGGAGGAGGCCGAGAAGCGGGAGGAGGAGGAGGAGGAGGTGCGGGAGCGGGAGGTGGAGGAGGGGCGGGAGGAGGAGGTGGAGGGGCGGGAGGAGGTGGAAGAGGGGCGGGAGGAGGAGGTGGAGGGGCGGGAGGAGGTGGAAGAGCCGCGCGAGAAGCCCCACGAAGAGGACGAGCCGCCCCGGCTGAAGCTGCTGCCCCGGCTGAAGCCTCCCCCTCCTCCGCGGCGGCGCGAGGCCGACAAGGCGCGGCGTGCCGCCTCCTCCGTCCTCGCCTCCGCCTCCTCCTCCCCCGCCACCACCCCCTCCTCCTCCTCCGTCTTCCCCTGCGCCGAATTCTCCACCTCCTCCTCCTCCCAGCCGCTCAAGTCAAGCCAGAGGTCCGCCGCCCCCGCCCTTTGCGCAGAGCCAGCCTCCTCCTCCACGCTCTCCTCACGCCCCTCTGCCAGCTTGCGGGCAGCCGGTGGTGCGGCGGGCGGCCAGCTGGAGTATCGCCACGGGTAGTCTGTCCTGCCGGAGAAGCTGCCGCCCTCCAGATGCTGCGGGCCCAGTTCGAGCAGTGTCGTCGGCGTGACCACCTTCCCGTCGCCGTCGACGATGGAGTAGGCGAGAGTCGCGTACGACTCGGATTGGAGTAAGATGACCGGAAAGTATAGACCGCCGGCACGAAGCCCGTCCTTGGCGGTGAGCGTCATTCGCTGATCGCCATCGCCACCGCACTCGCCTCCCCCATCGATCGAGTACACGTTAAACTTCCGGCCTCCCACCGCGGCGCCGGTAGCTTGCTCAAGCGCACAGGTGGTGACCTCGAACCAGAATGGAAGTTCGCCGTTCGGCGTGCTTTGGCCCTTCAAGCTGTGGCCGACGGCGATGAGTAGGGCGGCGAGGGCGACGGTGGCGACGAGGAAGTAGCCGCACGGGGTGAGCCTGGCTGCCATGGGCGCCGTCACCTGTGTCCCCGGTCTGCCAGCGGGTTCTTTACCAGGTATAAAAGAGAACGGCGGAAAAAAGAAAAGGCGAACTTTTGACACCGGCGTGGTCGTCGCGCGACGGCGAAGACGGGGCAGGCAAAAACCAGGTACCCGGGTACCAGGTTGCAACACCTGTTCCGCACACTGCTGTGAACGCTGCTGGTTGCCGCCGGTTGAGCAGCACCCCGTCCCCATCCAGGTTGTTGGTTGCTGCCCCAGGTCCCGCACTATGTAGGTGCACTGCTTCAGCAGCGTACACCTTGATCCTGTACCGTGTTTGTTATATAAACCCCCCCAATGAACACACCAGTGAGGGAGGGCGAGACGATCGAGGGGTCCCGTACCATGCGGAATCGACCCTATCCCACCAGTGCAACAGTGCGGGTGGAATGCCCCGTTCTCAGTGCTTGTTCGGGTACGTGGCTCGCACGTCCCTTCGAGTCGCTGTGTCCCGTCCACGTCGCCCGTCGGTCGGCAAAGCCGACGACCTATGGTGCAATACAGGCCGCTCGTAGGGGAGGCCGCAAAGATGCGCGAGGCCGGCGTAGATAAGTTGAGCCTCTTGGCGGCCAGCTCGAGCACCTCCCCCTTGGTGTCGGGTCGCGCGACCTTTTTGCCGACCTCCGAGCCCAGATAGCGCACCGTGATCCTCGTCGGCATCCGCGCGGGGTTGCCCTGCTGCCGGCCCCTGGCGGCCCGCCACGTAGTAGGTGCGACGTGCCCGCCGAAACATCGGTTCAAAACGACGTCACAGCGCCAATTCGGCCCCCGTCTTCGGCTCGCTCCGCTCGCCGGTGAGTTGGTTGGTTGCTGGCAGCACCCCAGCACCGGGGGGTCCTGAGAGCTGTTGGTTGCCGCTCGATTCACAGCACAGTGCGGAACAGGTGTTGCAACCTGGTAAAGAACCGGCTCGCTGCCCAGCCTGGGTTCCGGCTCCTACCCAGATAGGGGGTCTGCGCCATGACTCGCACCAAAACGCCCTACCTACCTACCTATTGCGGGCGCCAAACGCCAGGCTCCGTGCCCCACCTACCTACCTATTCCCAGGCCGCGCAGCGAAGCGAAAAAATCCGGGGCGCTGCCGTCCCGGGCGCCGCCACCGCGGGCGCCGCCGCCGCACCCGTCTCGGCTGGCGTCCCAGCCGCAGGCGACTCGCCTGGCATGGCCCCGTTCGCGGCTCCCGTCTCCCGCGCAAGCGAAGCGGGTTTCAACTGCTCACTGCACACTCTGGACGGGCCGCCGCGACCGCGCGCGAGGCGAGCGGCGCCGGACTCAACAGGCCGTACTCACACAGGGATTTTAAGGAGAGGGGTGTGGTGCGCTAGCCGTCGCCCACCCTTGGGCGTTTGCCTCTTCCTATCTCTTTTCGCAGTCCCTCGCCGATTGGCTCGCTGCAACCTTCATATTCCTCGCAGGGGAGTCGCAGCAGCGCGGATGCTCGCCAGCACGGCCCGCCGTCCGGTCGCGGTCTCGTCTTAGTTCTGGCAGCGTCGGCGCCGACCTGCTCCCGCGCTGGCCACGCATCATCGCGTAACGGGAGGCTCGCTGGGTTTTTGTGGCTTTTTGCGCGGCTTTTTTGGATTCTCCCGCCTTCCTACTACTCTCTTGGGTTTTTTTACCCCCCCCCCCCACACACCACCACCACCACCACCACCACCTACCTACCTATTGCGGGGCCCTCTGGGGCGGTCAAAACCGGACCTACCTACCTATTGCATAGGGTCTAACCGTGGGGGACAGACCCCCTATCTGGGTAGGAGCCGGACGGACGGAACCCTGGCTCGACAGTGTCGACGAGAAACCAGAGCGCCGGCGCTGAATTTTTTTCACAATCGTCATCTGTTTTGCAAGTTATCCTGACCTCCTTTCACCTCTTGCTATGCCACGCGGGACGTAAATATAAAATAGAGAAGATGAAACTCGATAAGTCCCACCGCCACCAGTTTCCGACCGTCCCACGGCTTCGGTCGTTTGCACCACACGCTCCGCCGAATGGCCAAGCGACGGCTGAACCCGGACGAGATTCGAGCAGCCGTGGAGGCGGGACCTCCCCCCCACTCGGTCAACTACGAGACCGACAAAAAATGGCATGCCGAGCATAATCGCTGGCTCGCCAAATGGACCGAACGCCGGCTCCCCGACAGCGGCGACAGCGGGAGCAGCCGGGGGACCAGTGGCGCGATCGAAAGCAGCAGCATGCACAGCTGCTGCGGACGGCGGAGAAGGAGCCATCTGCCTCCTTGAAGCGCCAGCGCAAGGCCGCAGCGACACCTGCCTTGACACATAGCGGCCGTGTGCACTCTGGCCCGCCACGGCTCAAGAGGCCAAAGCCGCCGCTGGAAGTGGCGACCAGCAGGCGTACGAGCTCGCCATGGGCATGTATGGTATTGCTCGCGACACCCGGAGCAAGATGTCGAGGCGGACCAAGAGCGAAGACGCCGAGCGCAAGAGGGATGCGCGAGCGATCACGGCGATGATGGCAAGTGCGAGCATTGGTTCGGCGACTACACAGAGCGCCGCTGCTGGAGCTGCCGGCGCCACCTCCAGCCAGATGGTTCCTGAAGCAGGCATGCTGGGGTGGCTTTGCCTCCCATCCCTCCCCGACCCACCCACCATCACCACACGGCTTCCCCGTGGTAGGGCCGCAGGCAGTCAAGGCCGCCAAGGAGCGAATGGAGAGGGAGCGCGAGCGGTCGCAGCGGCGGCATGGGAGGCAGCAGATCGGAGAATTTTCGGAGCCGCAGCAGATTGCAGACCCTGAGCCTGGACTCGCCGAGCTTGATGCTTTGATGAACAGGAGATGGCGTTTCAGGCATGGCGCGAGCAGCGCGGTCCTGCTTTGTACGGCAGCATTCACATCCCCACAGAGGTTGGCTTGGTGGCTGCCTGGCGCGCAGAGCAGCGGCTGCCGTCCCCTGCGCCATCACTTCCGCAGCAGCAAGCTGACACTGCCTCCCAGCAACAAGCCGCACAAGTCGTTCTCGGAAGCTTGGACATCCTGGTACGCGGCGACTTTCTTTCGTGGCTCCAAGATTACCGCAATGTGGGTGACCCACTTGACGAGCCTCACTTGGAAGATCTGCTTTGCATTTGGCGCAACTCTGATGAGTATGAAAACACGAAGAACACCCGCATCGCCGAGACATGCCATTGCCCGCGTGACCGCGAAAAAATGCGCTCACTGCCTTGTGCAGAGCTCAAGCGACGTGTCGAGGATGGCATGCTGGGTCAGCCAGGTGAGAGCCAAGCTGTCTACGATGCCCGAGTGCGCGCCGATCGACTGGCACGCGGTGTAGAGCTCGGCGAGCACTTCACCAACCCCTCCGCCTTTAGCGGCACGCACCTTCCCTACTGCACGTGCACATACGACGGTGAAGTGGCCACGCCCGCAATTCCGGGACTGACGTGTGACGCAGATGGCAGCATCTCAGCTGCAGACCTACTCGGCGAGCTGATAAACCATGGATCTCGCGCGGGAGAGTGGCAGCAGAGCGGTGGCGACCACGTGCCTGAGGACTGGGTTGGTTGGAGATGGCACGTTGGATAGCAATCGCGATGGAGATTATCTTGGCATGCCATACCTCACGAGCTTCTGCACGGCGTGCAAACGAATCCGTTCTGATGAGCCTTTCCTTTCGCATGTGGCCAGAGACCCTGACCTGCGAGCTCGCATGTGCATGAAAGTCTCAACCACTGTGAGCGTGAGGCTGTGCGTGGCTGTCGGAGACTCCGTGCGGCTGCGCGATGCGGTTTGCCAGCACTGTCGAAAGTCGGATCCGGTGGAGGATCAGTGAGTTACCCCTTACTTGAAGATAACACAGGCTTGAGAGAGAGGCCACTAGGGCTGCACTAGGGATCCGTCGCCGCAGGCCCCACACTAGTCCTGGATATAGGGAGACAACCCGACGGGCAGACCCCGCCCCGCTCGGAGGGCGTGCACCACACAGCACACCTGCACACGCACGTGTTGCCTGCGCTTATATTTACCATTCTTTGTTCGTTATCTGATACAGCTCCTAGGTAGACTTGGTGCGTGTGTATATGAGCACGGACGCCGACCTCCACCTCTCCGACGTGCATCTCCGGGCTGACTGCAGCGACGCTGGTTGCGATTTGCCGTGTGAGACCGTGTTTCCTTTTGCAGAGGCTGCGGACGCGGCCTCCTCCTCCGACGACGCCCACGAGCCAACTGCGGCCGTCGACGAGGATGGAGACCTCTTGTGCGCTCGCCGCAAGCGTCGAAAGCTGGCGACGCCTGGTCGCGGGCGGCTCCGGATCTGCCACGCGCTGGCCACCCCGCTTTCTGACGTGGGGCTGCAGGTCTGGCGCGGCGCGCTGCTGCTGTGCGACCACCTGTTTGCGCGTGAGAGCGCGCAGCTGCTCGACGGCGCGGTCGTGCTCGACCTCGGCGCGGGCTGCGGTCTCACCTCGGCCGCCGCTTGCCTCGCGGGAGCACGGGCCGTCTTTTGCACGGATGCCCACACCGCATCTCTGCGCAACTCGGCCAACAACGCAGACGCGAATGGCGTGGGAGGACTCGTCCGAGTGCGCCGGCTCGACTGGAGCGCGGTGGATGTTTGGCCTTCGCCGTCAGAGGGCGAGTTCGGGTGGAGCTCCTCCGACCTGCAGGCGCTGCGTGGCGCGACGGTGCTGCTCGCCGCGGACTGCGTCTACGACGACGGGATGACGTCGGCGCTCGTGGCGCTGATGTCGCGCGTGCTGCCGGCGCTCGGGCCCTCGGCCGTCGCCTTCGTCTCACTCGAGCGACGCGTCAACTTTTGCCTGGAGGGCATGTGCGCGCGCGCGCCTGCCGCCGAGCACTTCCACCGCGAGCTCGAGGCGCAGCGCGGCCTGCTCGTGGGGAGCCTCGTGGCGCCAGACGGAGTGCCGCAGCGGTTCGAGTACGAGCGCGCCCCCACTCTGGAGCTGTGGAGAGTGCGGGCCGCCTGCGCCTCTGCGGAGCAGGG